CCCGAAGTCAAAGCTTTCGCCTTCCTCTTCAGACCTTGTCCTCTATTTCTAATGTTATGAAGACTAGGGTTACTTGCACAAAATATTCAGGTTTGGACCCTTGTTGCAAAACAAAGACGATATTTGTAGTTGTTTAAATGGCTAGTGAAAACAAAAAAATCTTGTTTATATGAAGCCACACGTATACTTTTTTCAACCCCAGCTTTACAAACTGTTGGCGTGTTTGTTTACAAAACACAGAGCTGAAAGTTTACAGACAACAGGCGGTGTCGCAAAATACTCAAACTCATGTTTCAAAAGCAGCACTGTAAATAAGGTGGAAAGAATGATCCAAACACTTGACTAATATTGCAATTTCCTGCACGTTTTCACAAGAAAATAAATGACATAAGTCTATCCATATGCTGTTAACATGATCTGCTTTAAGGACGTTTATGGCGGGTTACTCTAATTGACATGCTTAAGATCACGCCTCTTGTTGACATGTGGTACAATCACTGTAACATTTACTAAATTAACATGCCGAGAAGAATAAACCCAGGAAAATACTTCAGGAATACCCATTTTGTAATAATTTCATATTCCTAATAACAGGGAAATGAAACACTATTACTGATAATATGTTATTTTAATCCAATTGTGAGCTTAAAATCGAAATTGAAATAATGTGATTTTAGGAAATAAATGATACGCTTCCGATGTTGACAAAGCTTTTAAAATAATACAATTTCTTATGTAATCGACGGTGTCAAAAGTACTACAGCCTTAAACCAAAAGAATCCAAATTATATTTCTAGCTTAATCCTACCACCAATGAAAGAGATTGGGCAATATCTTAACTGCAAAAATACTTTGGCAATGTTGAAAGCTTGCTACTGTATTTGTGAAATTCGGAAAGTTGGCAGGACTTTGCCTGCATTTATTAGTAATCAAAAATAAGAAATTACCCAATATTGGGTCTCTGACACATGTATATAAATTGTGGGATTGAAACAAGTATCGATATCTTAGAGTTTTACTAGTATCCTATCAACGTTTTAAATTCTAGTATAAATTTGACACAAACCTAATATGCGTTCAGTTTGCTTAACATCTTTAGATTCATCATATGTTGATCATATTTAAAACAACAAGTAACTACTGTTTTCAGCTGAATGAAGAGAGGGAGAGAGACAATATATTTCCCACTGCAATGTTCAGAGTAGTATTATATTTCAATTCAATTCTCAAATCCATCATTACAACACAAGATCAGCCAGCTTACTTCATTCTGCATTTTTCAGGACATCGTTTTCTCAATTCTCTATCAGATTCAGAGGACCTCATTGTTGGAACAATTTACCCAATCATATTAGAAACAGCACCAGCCTCAACGTGTTTTAAAAAACAAACCATTTATTTCCTGCTTGCCCAATTAACCAATGCGCCATCATAATCTTTCTCTGCCGTAAAAGCTTATTTTCCTTTTCCCCCTTCTTCTTTAATTTGTCTCTTTCTTGTTTTGCTTTCTTTTACACCTTATTGAGTATGTGTTCTTGTTAGCGTTATTGTTTTTGCTTGGACTACATTAATAATATGTCTCTGTGTTACATGTTTCTCTTTAGGAGGGCCACTCGACGAGCCCCTCTGGGTTTATTTGGCTCCTCCAGCACATTTCTTTCAAAATGTATAGTTTGTTAATTAACTAATCATTATGTACTGTCTGTTTTTCCATTGATCTATTATGTTTAAGTTTTTTTTTTTTTTTGTGCGCCGTTATATTGTATAGTTTCTGCTTATAATATGTCTACACTCATGCACTTTAACTTATGTCAATACTGTCCATTTACAACTCTGTTTTTGCACATTTACATTTAATCTTCCATATTTAAGACGAGTAATGTTTAGTTAAATCCTGGTTGTATATATTCCCATTCTTAGTTTTGATATTTTTTGTGCTTATTTACTTTGTATTTAATATTATATTGTGTTTAAATTTGCTAACATTGTGTTTTTTGCTCATATTGTGTGTTTGGACAACCTGCTGCTGTAACGCCACAATTTCCCAGTTTGGGATCAATAAAGTAATTCTATTCTATTCTATTCTATAAATAAATGAAATGTAAACATTACAACACTGTGTTAAACTGTTGCACATTAGTCAATGTATTTAATTAAATCGTCATTATATAATAAGTAGACATGAAGTTTGTAAAAACAAGTGTGACTGTGATGTAAACTATGGTAACTAGCAGCTTCCAGCATCTAGTTAGTTAGTTACTATAGCAACAGGGCCGAAATTAGGTCACCGAATCTGACAGGTCACAATTACCGACGTAACACCCATATCAACTTAATTACACTGGATTACGAATATAATTCAACCACTGTCTCGATGCTTCCTGTTGTATATCAACACTGTTGTGCCTCTAGCATTCACACACCACAAAATATAAACGTTATCTCACTTTAAGCCCCTTTTACACATATTTTAAAAAAAAGAAAACAGGCTAATTAACCTGAGTAGCATAGCGGTTAGCTAACGATGCATTATAACACCACTGGCGTTAGCGTGTTAATATTAGAGCAGAAGAAACACACTGAACAGTTAGCTTAGGAGATAACAAGCGAACTGTTTCCGACTCTTAAATAAAAAAGCCTGTTGCTCGTCACCGGGATATTAAGCTGAGGTAAACATTATCCGGCTAATGAAGCTAGCTAACTGTGTGTGAAGCTGGTGAGTTTCTGTCTTACCGGCGCTATTTGTTTTTTATTCCATAACTCCAACGTCGTCCTGAACAGTTGTCTCACCTCCCGTTTCACTCAAAATGAGAAAAACATCCCCCGCTTGCGCCCTGCTAGGTCGCTGACACCAGCGGGCAAAGTTGTGAAGGAAGCAGCTAGCTGTTGGATTAGTTTTATTGAAGATGTGTACCAAAAAAAAAAAAAAAAAAAAGAATTCTCCACTCAGGCGGCCATCTTGAATAAGACCGACTGTCGTGACGTCACAGGATCTGCGGGCCGGCTCCAGCAGACTGAGAAACAGCTTCTTCCACCAAGCTGTCAGGAAGCTTCACTCTCTCTCCCTCTCTTCTTCCTTCCCTCCCCTCTCTTCCTTCCCTCCCCTCTCTTCCTTCCCTCCCGTTTGCCACCAAGAACTCTGGACTTATAACTCTGAAGCTAACTATTCAAAAGTACACTCAGTTTACTGCACATATTGCACAAGTTCACTTTTTCTTCAAATTTTATTTTATTTTATTTACCATTTTGTAACTTTTGCACAATTCAGAATTTATTACTGTAAATATTATTTATCTTGTTTTTTTCCTCATTTTATTTTATCTATTTTACCTTATCTCTTTTTGACCTTATTTTGGTTGTATTGCACCGCGGGACAGAGACAAAATGCAATTTTGATTCCACTGTATGTCTGGCATATTTTGAAATTGACAATAAAGTTTACTTTGACTTTGACTTCAGAGGAGAAGCCAGCCTCAGCCTGACTGCTCAGTCTGCTCAGTCTGCTCGGTCTGCTCGGACTGCTCGGTCTGCTCGGTCTGCTCTGTCTGCTCGGTCTGCTCAGCTGCTCAGACTGCTCAGTCTGCTCAGTCTGCTCAGTCTGCTCAGTCATTTCTCTCTCTAGAAAACTGTAATTATAGCAGATTATAGTTTAGATAAATGCTGGTAGTTCCTCCGCAAAGTCTACAAAACTGATAACAATAATATGTTATCATATAATAATATATATGAAGGCTATCTCTAAATGTCTCAGCCACAAACAAAAATAAAACTGGATGAAACTTAACAGTTCTTATTGTCTTTTCTTACTGGTTTTACTTCTTACTGTCCTTTTATTTATGCTCTTATCTCGTATTTATGCTCTTATCTTTTATTCCTCTTATGTTTTAACGTGGTAATTTCTTATCTTACTTTGTCTATTTATGTTTTACATTTATATGTACATTGTTTTTTTTATCCTTTAACAACTTGTTTCTATTTATTCTTCTTACTGTTCTTTTATTTATGCTCTTATCTTAACTCACATTTAGATTTGGAAAATATTTATTGTCCCTGAGGGGCAAATTGGTTTGCAACAGAAGTACATACAGTCAATAAATCCATAAAAAAGACAGCACAATGACATTAATAAATACATATTAAACATAACTCTATTGGAAATCTTCATGATGAGGGAGAATAGTAAAAGTGTACAGGCAACAATGCCTACAGCTTATTTAAAAACCTGTATGCTGAAGGGACAAAGATCATTCAAGTCAACGCTGACAATCTTTCAGCAAAGTTTAATAATATTTCCCAGCCTGTTTTTCTAAGTGATGCTGAGACTACCAAACCAGCAAATCATCACAAAAGTCAAAATGGACTCAATAAAAGATTAATAAAACATTTTTAGAAGAGATTTGTCAACATAGATAGATAGATACTTTATTGATGCAGAGGGAAATTCAAAGCATCCAGTAGCAGGTTACAAAGACGTACATGACATTGAGTATGTAACATTTGTTACAAATTAAACCACAAAACCGACGCCCCCCCCTCCCATACATATATATTAACCTGAAAACAAGATTTAAAGAATACCTCTAGATGAATCAAACTTAAACTGTGCAATTAAAAATAGACTTATACAAGAAATGTACATAACCCGTGCAGGGATAAAACTATATGTGACATTTAAACAAGAACCTAAAACAGTTGAGGAAAAAAATCTGTAATTAGACCTGAATATAAAAAATAAAAATAAAGAAGTGTTGACCTTCTGACATTTTAACTCCTCAGCTTTTTCAAGAAGAACAGTCTCAAGCACCTGTTGAGAACCTTAAGAAAGACTATTTCCCAAGTGAATGTAGCACGCTATATAACAATCTTTTCCATGTTTAGGGACGTAAATAATGCTTTTTGTTGCACTTAAAATGTGTGTTATAAATTAACTTGAGTGTTGCAGTTACCCGCCAAACCGGTAGGTGGCGGTAACACGAGCGAACGCCGGCTACCAGCCACTTAAAACAGAAATCAAAGAAGTTGACGAAGAACGGGAAGAAGAAGCAGGAAGAAGAAGAAGAACACATCGGCACCACCACAATGAATTCAAGCAAGAGACTGGGAAAGGTAAGAATTTTCCTATTTTATGCGTTTTATCCCACTTCGGGGAGTGTATGAACAACTTGTTTCGGACACTCGTGAGCAGTTTAAGAGCCGTGGAGTCAGAGAAATGTCGAATTCTTTTGTTCGACGAAATGAAAGCAGAATGACGTCCCAGCGACGGTAACTAGTTATTGAGTTTGAGCCGTCAGCAGCGAGTGATTCAGCACTTTTATTCAACTGGAAAGTAGGACATTCAATCGTTTATCATATATATATTTTAGTATGAATGCAGAGACTTATTAAAGACTCTCATTAAGAGCATCGCCGGTGTGTTTTCTTACCTTTTCGTGCTGTCACCGTGTGAAAGCGAAAACGTTTAGATTCTGGGGCTGGGACCGGCGTGACGTCAGACCTCAGCCAGGAGATATAAATCCTTCAGTTAAATGTTATAATTGTTTTTGGTTTTTTTTAATAAATAAACTCAATTACAGGTAAACAAATGTTATGAGAAATAATTTTAAATGGTTTTAAAAATTATTTGAGCCAGGAAGAGGAAATGACAGCAGGTTATTATTATTATTTATTTTATATTATTTTTTTTTTATTTTTTATTTTTATTTTTTTTTGTACATTCTTAATTTTTATTTTTTTATATTTAAATTGTACTGTGTTCACTTTTTTTTTTTTTCCTGCTGTAACACTGTACATTTCCCCGTTGTGGATAAATAAAGGATTATTTTATCTTATCTTATCTTATCTTAGGTGTTGTTTAAATGGCTCCAGTTACCTTTTTGGCTCTTCACATTTAAATCTTCCTCTTTTTCTCTCTGCTTCTGCTTGTAATCATTACTCTACACCTGTGTGACTGACAGGTAACCACAGGTGTAAAGGTCATTTTGGCTCTAGTCTTTACATTTAAATCGTCCTCTTTTTCCTGCTGCTGCTGCTTGTAATCATAACACCACACCTGTGTGACTGACAGGTGTGGTGTAATGTGTTTTAAAGGGACATTACTTGAAATATAATAGGACGTAATTACTCAAACAACTTTTATTTGTATAGTGCCAAATCATAACAAATGCTAACAAAAGACGCCTTACATAAGATAATGTAAAATACCTTACTCACTGTTTTGTTATGTTTAAAAAGAGCAGGTAAAATACCTCACTCTTTGCTATATTATTTGCCTTTTTTTTTTTTACATGCAATCGCACGCTTGTTTTTTGTCTTTTTACTCCTGCAACCCTTACATTTCCTCTCAGGTGATCCAGTAAAGATTATTTTATCTTCAATATATACTGATTATATTGAATTCTAAGATCAGAGCTTCAATATAAAGTGATAAAATCTGTCAATTATAATTGTGTTGTTTATTAGACTTGGTTTGATTTATGTATTGAATAGGCCAATGACATCATCTTTTATTAGTCACAGGGGATTTAATTTAACTGAATCCTCTGTTCTGGCAGGCCCTGTGATATTTAAGCAAATTATAATATCATCATATTGTGAAAGACACCCTCCTAGTTACTGATCATTTGCGCTTTTACACTTTGTTTATGTGGATTTGCTTTCACCAGCTGTTGCTCACCGGTTTTTATTGCCATATTTAACTTTATTATGTCAGTGAATTGCTGGAACTTTCTGGAAAGGCCGGCTGAACAATTCTTCAGTCTCATACTTTGTGCTTGACACATTTATTTTCAGTTTTGTTTGAGGCTGCTGTGAGTCAGGAATGTACTATGTAGTCTTGTCAGTGAAGCACTTGGTTATGTCATATCTGAATTCCCCTGAAAATCCAGTTTTACTGTTGTTCAAACAAGAACTATTTAACTTGCTCTTCTTTAATATACAAAACCATCGTAAAATGATTGAGGCTGCAACTATCGCTCAAGACTATCCCATTTATTTTTAGAAATGGGATAGATCTGATCTAATACCCGTTTTGGGTCCGATATTTACGTAATCAGATATCGGACTGACGGCGCCGATCCATGTCCCTTTGAACTTGAAGACATTCAGACTGAACTGCAAGTGCCCAAAATCATCATCACAACGTTAAGACAAGATGACACAGCTCCTTCTATATAATAAAAAGTTTAGGCTTAGTCACATTTGACCACCAGACAAAACCCAACTGATACACATCATCAAGCAGCAGCAGCATAAACAGCTTTAAACCCAAAAAAACATAGTCTTCAAATGGACACAAACATAACTGTCTGCTTCTCTGACACACTCTGCTCTCGTCATAGTTGTGGGTGATGTTGACAAAAGAAGTTAAAACTGTGTTTATGTTTAGTGCAGCCACAGTGCACTGGAGTTTTATAACTGAACATGCATTTAGGTCATTTAGTCTGATATAGGAGTGTTGCTGATTTTAAAAAGGGATACTAGGGGTGCAGATGGCCTGGCGGTTATCGCGCCCCATGTAGGAGGCTATAGTGCTCCAAGCGGGAAGGCCCTGGTTCAAGTCTGGCCTGTGGCTCCTATCCTGTATGTCAGTCCCCACTCTCTCCTGTTTTCTGCTTTCTCCACTATCCTAACAAATAAAGGCAAAAAAACAAATCTTAAAATCAAGGGATACCAGCTGAAGGAACGGGAAAGAGGCTGGGTTTTGAACCACAGTGGAACCATGCTAGAGGGCTCTGTGGTCAATGAATGGCAGTCATCCGAGGTGGATGCAAACAAAACATTTTCTTTTATTGTCGGGTTTTCTTCATGCTTAGTTTGTTTTGACCCTGCCTTGTATTTTAATGCCCGACAGTGCTGCTCCTTGTCATTATAAAAAAAGTCATTTTTATAATACCGGTTAAACCACCAAATTTCAACAATGTCTAAAAGGTAAAAGTTTTTCATCATGAAACACGCTGTTAAGTAGGTAATCCATGTTCTTTATATTCTCTCTTCTTTAGGAGCTGGAGGATATCCGCAAAAGTGGGTTGAAGTGTTTCCGCAACATTCAAGTGGATGAAACAAACATTTTACACTGGCAAGGGCTCCTTCTTCCTGTAAGTGTTGAATCTCTGCTAAAAGCAATGTTGTTTTATCTTTAAAAAATTCAATGACTGACCAACTGCTGCACCTTTTTTTTTTTCTGTCATTCTACAATTTCTCAAGGATTGCTCTCCATATGACAAAGGAGCATTTCGGATCGACATCAATTTTCCATCAGAGTACCCCTTCAAGCCACCAAAGGTCAATTTCAAGACGAAAATCTACCATCCCAACATCGACGAGAAGGGTCAGGTCTGCCTGCCGATGATCACTGTGGAGAACTGGAAACCAGCCACAAGAGCATACCAAGGTGAGGACAAGGAGACTTGTGAATTGGGGTAGTTTTACTTTTAGAATCCAAACAAGAACTGTGCTTGATGTTGTTTTACAAAAGCCAACCAGTGCTGAGATTCTCCCAAGTGTGCTTCAGAAATAAAGATCCAGACTCTGTTAAAAAAGCGTTTTTAAAGATGATTTCGTTCTGACAGTAAATCTATATTATGATTCAGTTATTTCAATATATGTTCAAATTGTACATTGCAATTAAAAATGTAAATATGATAAAAGATAGGGGTGCTGCTAGCCTAGCAGTTAGTGTCCTGGCCCCATGTACAGAGCTTTAAGGCGCACTCACACTTTGCATTTCAATACTGTGCACAAGCACGTTTGACCCCAAAAGCATAAAAGTTCATCGAGACACAGTTCATGGAGGAGGGGACTAAATCAACTCAGCTCAACATGAACTCAAATATGTTTTCTGACATATTAGGAAGGATGTTAAGCACAGTTTTGTGTTTAAAAAAACAACTCATAAACGATCCAGTCGTCAAACTAAGATGACAAAAGGTGAAAATATCACTTTTTATATGAACACAACTTCAGGAATGATTGTCATCATAAAGAACACTTCTTTAATTTATTTCCTTTATATGAACTAGAAGCGTTCCCATGTTGTCTTGTTTAAAGTCTGTCAGTGTTGTTGTCAGTCTATTGCTGTTATATTTATTTATGTTATGAAGTCCCTGGAGGAAAAATGCAAGTTTGGCTTAAAAGTGAACACATGTTGACTGGAGTAGAAGTTATCAGTTTGTTGCAATCTACAACCTCACCACTAGATGCTGCTAAACGCTTCACAATGTTCTCTTTAAGGTCGATGAGATTTGTTTTGCGCCTGGAACTGTCTTAGTTCAAATCTACAGTTCTACTGGTAATATGAATGTATAAATTGAGTTTTAAGTTCTTGTTTTTTTCCCCCTCTGACAGTGATTCAGAATCTAGTTGGTCTCATTAACACCCCCGAGCCGGAGCATCCGCTGAGGGCCGACCTGGCCGAGGAATACACTAAAGACCGCGCCAAATTCATGAAGAACGCCGAGGAGTTCACGAGGAAACACAGTGAAAAACGACCCACTGACTGACCACACACAACACACCGACCCTCACAGCTGTTTGCCTTCTTTCTGTTTTCTCTTTAAATAGCCTACCTTGACTTTGTTCTCACCCCCCCTCCCCTAAATTCACACAAAGTTGCCCCGCTTCTCTCTCGTACCTTCAATGTTGTAACACTCTCCGACCACTCCTCAGTAGAGGCTTGTGTTTCTCTTTCACTTTGCCAAAAAAAAAAGAGAAGCAGGACTTTTTGGTGAATCTGCAGGTTCTGGCCTCTAGCAGTCACCTTTGGGTTGTTTTAAAATTCTTTCTACTAATTTCTTTTTATAAAAACTTCAGAAAATTGTGAGAGGTGTTGGCATCCTGGAGAGAGTGAAGTGCTGTTACACTTTCTGTTTTCTTGATTCCTTTTTGAACAGTTAGCATCTAATGCTGCCGTTTGTCTGTTGCCTCCCTTTTTTTACTTCCTCTGCCTTTTTAAAGACGCACTGTACGTCGTGATAATCACCGTCACAGGACCTGAAAGTTCAAATTTGTTTCTGATGTAGAAAAAAAATGAAGTCATGTGCTTTAAAATGTTTTTTTTTTGTACTTTGCGATATTAGGGAAAATCTCTATTTGTGAAAACTCGTAGGGAAGCAGTTTTTTTATTTTTTTATGCAGACGGGAAATCAATCTTTTTGTTTTATTTTGAGTGCAGTACTGTTCGTCTAAATGTCAGACATAGTTCTAAAGGCACTTCTCAAGTTATATTTTGTTGAAGAATCAGTTCTAACGCCTCTAACACAACGTTGTTTGTTCTTTATAAAGAAACAGCAGCCTCAGCTTTAATATTAAAACACACATGTGGTTGCTCTTGTGTTTATTTTACTGATCGTCCACTCAGCACTATGTTGATATTTTTTTATACTCAACTCAATAAAGAAAGCACTGATTGGTTCAACACGTTTTGAACTTGCAGAGTTCCTATTGGCTCCTTTCTCCTCTAGTTAACAGTCCTTATATCCTGGTAGTTGACCAAACCATAGCGCACCTGACTGTACGCCGTTATACATGTACGATAAGGCAAGACATACATGTCATAAAGCGGACGGATGGTCTTAAATGAATAAAGATTTGTGATGGATGCTGAATCAAACCTGTTTGTTTTTTTTGTGTGGGTCTTTGTTTTCACTTCCTACCAAGAGATTCGATCCTTTACCAGAAGTATCAATATATAAATATCAAAAGAATCCATTATGCATTCAAATTTGAAGTAAATAAATACTTTTTGAGGAATTAATAATAACAGAAATTATTACAATAACTTTGCAAAACCGTAAGAAAAATCTCAGCTCTTATTAATCAATCATTTGTAAAGCGGTAATCATAAGTGTTATCTCGAGACACAGTTTATATTTTTTTCACTTCTTTTACCTTTGAGAGGTAGTGATCATTTCAACTACTTCTTTGACACCAGGTTGTTTTGTCCCAATTTCAGGGAAAAACTGAAGATTGAAACAGAGGAGCAGGAACATGTTTTTTAATCTGAGAGTTTTACCAATGAAGTAAAGAAAACCGCAGCACAGTCAACGTTTTGACTAGTATTGGTTTTATTGAAGTCAGGGTTACAGTGAAGACCTTAACTTGAGGTAGAATTTTTCTTCCCTAACTGCACATCATGTCTAAGATTAGGTTACCCTAAAGATTTTACAACCTTTTCCAGAAGACTAAAGAAAACATCCTCGTCTGTAGCGGTGGACTGACTGTCATTCTTGTCAGTATCAGAGGGAGCTGCTCCTCCTGCTAACATCCATATCACAAAAGAGTCCAGATTTTATTTCCTGAACTGAGTGATGGGAGCCGGGACTTTGATGTCATGGCCCTTCTCCAGCTTCTTCTCACACTCGATCAGATAGTTGACACCATCGACCAGGAGCTGCACCAGCTCCACCTGAAAATACAAACAAAGGTAAGTTCAAGAACAAGAGGGAAACTTTTGATGATTCAGGGATCAACTAGAACGCTAAAAATGTAGTCACACAGTGCAGATCTGAATTCAGACATGCGTAGAAACACAGGTCTCGTTTCCTGACCTCAGATTTGCCCAGACGGTCGTTGTTGGAAATGTCAAACGTGTCTCCTGTCGCTGCTGTGTCCACTCCTCCTGTGCCTCTTTTCTGCAGCCGCAGGTTGTCGAGGATTTTGGAGAAACGTGAGTCCTGCAGCGCGATTAGAATCATTTGTTTTAAACAGATCCCAAGAAAGTGACAAAAAGGACAAAAAACAGCTTTTTCTCAATGTACCAAATATGAAGCTGCCGTTTTTAAAAAGGCTCAACCTTCCTTAAAAAAACTGGAAAATGTAGTTTTTTTTAGCACAAACAAGGAAATTCTGCATTTGTTGGGGACTATACTACAACTGTGTATGTATGTGTAAGCATGTAAAAAGTTCAGTTAGCAACGTTAACACTAGGACTAGTTTGGTTACGTCTGCCATCAAACTAATCTCATGTAAACAAAACTGACGGAGGAGAAACCTGCGCACATTGTGACGTTATAAGCTTGAACTCTGTTTTCCCCGTCACATAAACACCTTAAACGGAGTTTCTGAACATCTTCACAATGGAAGGAGTTTAACAAAAAGTGCATTTTCAGTGACCTAAAACACTTTGCATATGAAAGGCGTTATTACGTTTTCAAAAATACCTGCCTAGGTGTGGACGAGGCCTGATGCAGAGATACAGTGTTTGGTATGAGGTGAGAAAGTGCGTATAATTTTAGCAAATCAGGGCTGACTCTCTTAAAAAAATAATGCAATATGTTCTTGGTTTTCATTGGATTTGTTGCCGATTAGAAAAACATAAAATATCACAGGACTTGACTTTGAATTGGGTCAGAAATTCGATGACAAAGTGAGAAACCTCCATCTGCTGAGCAATGAAATGATTAAAAGATCCAGAACAAAAACTAAATGTATCTCATGGTGAGATTTATTATTTCATTTGAGTTTCTGTTCTGTTTCAAGAGGAAAAGGTTGTGTGTATATCTGTGTGTTTGTGTGTGTTACCTTGCTGAGGTTTGGCAGGCGGACGTGCACGCCAGCCCTCAGGCCGGTGCCCAGGTTAGAGGGACATGTGAGGATGTAGCCCAGACGCTCGTTCCACATGAACTCCCAGCCTCTCTCCTGGATCAGCTGCTCCACCTGCAGGACATCACATGAGATCACTTGAGATGAGATTTGTGTGTCTTGGCGCTATATAAATGAAAACTGATAAGATTGATTTTTTACTGTACCTGTTTGAGTCCTCTGCAGAATCTCTCAAACACTCTCTTCATGTTTCCTCCCTTCTCCATGGAGATGACTCTGGTGTGGTCCTCCTCGTTCACCCAGATCAGGAAGGTCTTCTCGTTGTTGTGCCTGAGGAGAGCCAGCTAAAGGAACTAAATAAAGAGCTCTGCAGGTAAAACACTGAACAGTTTATGAACAGAGAGCGACCCAAATGACAAACAAAACACACCAAATGCAAAAGTCAAAAGCCCCTAAATAGAATGATATACACACCAAAAACCAATACATCAATGGAGCTTGATAGGATGTGCAAAACATTTAAATCCTGTAAATCAATGTCTAATTGGTCACACAGCACACATGCAGACGAGCTGATTGGACCCTACCAGATGCCCCTAGCGTCTGGCCAGTCTCTGGCCATAAAGGCACATGTCAACAACGGAGAGACAGGTTTGTCAAACAGGAAGTGGTCCTAAAGGAGGGAGGGGTGAAGGGAAGAAAGAAGAGTTCTCGTTATCCCAGGAGCTGAGTTTCTAGTTTTCAGGACAGCCTGCCCCTGCAGTTTTACAAAGTTGTTATTCACTCATGTGCCTCACAAAGGGAAGTTTTACCTGTTTGAAGGGAGGGCGGGTAGATGTCAGGAGGAGAGACATGACACATGACTTGAAAAGGGCGCTAAAGGTCATAATGTTTACAAGTTATCCAAAATGGAATCTAAAGGAAAGTCTGACATTAAAATTACAGTTTTTTTGCCTTTTTTATCAGCGCCATGTGTAAATGTATTTTTTTGCAACTCTTGGGGAAACAAGATAAGTAAGTGAGGACCTTAAGAAAAAACTGCAAATTGTCCAAGAGAAAATAAATAATATGTATGGATGCATGTCCACTTAGGGCTTCCTTGTAAACTCATAATTCTGTGAAGTAAAGACTGTTTCTCGCTACAGGAGGGGATAGAATAGGGAAAAGGGTCAGGACTCTAAAAAAGGAGAGGGGAACATGTTGGTCTCTCAAGATGGAGCTTTGCCGAAACCAACAGAATGAGGACTGGATATCACTAAACTGTGTTAGTCTTACCAGATCCCCCTGGAATCAGGCCAGTCTCGGGCCATGAAGGCCGAGGTGAGTAATGGAGACACGGGCTTGTCAAACAGAAAGTGATCCTTTTGTAGCGCAGCGTGAAATATTAAGAAACAGAAAAGTCAACAAACCTGAAAATGTATTATTTTTTGTTTAAATCGTCTAGACATTGACCAGAGAGACACTATTTATTGTGAAGGCTTTTAAAGCAATTTATGAACAAAAATATAACTCCAAAATCAAACATTTAAAATGAATTACAATAAGTGTTTAATCAAATATCAAAGGGATGTGATTAGGAAATCCTTTCAGTGCATAAGACTTACGTCAATGAGCTGCTGCTGCTCCTTGTCCGTCATGTCTCCAAGACCGTAATAGCGTCCGGCCAGGTCTCCCTTCAGGCCGGCCAGGGCCATAACCACGACCCGCTCCACCTCACGACGCTCAGCCCTCGAGCAGGCCGGGGGGAGGCTCAGGCCGCGGATGCTGCGACCGGTACGGACACGAGAAGACAGGACGTACTTCTCGTCGAACACGCCGTTGGTGATCTGAAGGAGGAAGACAAAAACAGGAAAGAAAGAAAAATATGGTTCAACACATGTAGGAGCGGCAGATAGATGGACGGAGGAACCAGGAAGTGACAGGTCGTGTGATGGTGTGAACACCTTGGAGGCGTCCAGGTCAGTTGGGTGTGTCATGGTTCTGGGGTCGTAGCCGTTGTGCCTGTCTTTGATGATGGGGTCAAAGAGTTCAGCAAACACCTGAAGACAACATGAGACAAAGTTAAGGGGGAGGGGGACAAAAAAACAAGGTATATGTTGTGCTGTTATGTTGGTATCAGTTGACTCTCAATGGAAGATATCTGAATCTGAAACTGTGAATCTGAATTTCCTATTTGGGACAATAAAGCTATCTATCTATTCATAACACGTTTAAGAATAAAAAACTGGATATTTAAGATCTAAAATCTTGAACCCAGAATTAAAATTAATGAATTTATAGTGACATTATATCGTATTACAGATAATGTGCATTGGCGGTTTAAAAGTGAAGCCGATGCTATAGTGCAAAAAACTGCAATTCCTCAAGCGTCCACTTGAGGCTGGCCGCAAAAGCCGGGTAATCCCCATTAGGTCCCATATTTAAAACAGCAGAAATAAACATGTTTACTTGGATTTTGTAAACTGGATATCAGAAGTGAAATTTGGATTCTGTGAACTCGATTTTGGAGAGGTGAAGGTATAACAGAACTCTTACCTCGTAGCTCTCCTCATCTCCGGCCACACAGCCCACAGTCTTGATGAACGGGTGTCCGGGGTTGTCCACACCAGTTTGGATGCACTGGTCCAGGGTCCAGTTGTTGGGGGTGAGCTTGTCCCTCAGTTTGGCGTAAACGGCCGGAGTCAGAGCCGCGGCCATGCAGTTGTTGTGTTTCCTCAGGTCGGGGAAATCAGAGCTGCAAGGAGAGAAGGAATCGGAAAGATTTGAAAATTTGAAACCAAATTTCTTTCATATTACAGTAGTTACGGGACCTAGGTCAAATGGTTCTGAGAACTCTGCAAACTAGAGGTGGAAACATGTAACCTCAGCATATACAGCTAGGTGTGGCCTCAAAGTAGACACCCAACATGACTCTTTAATGAATCCTTTTTACATGAAAATATGTGTGATTATTTCCATATTTACTGATAAAAAAAAATCTGATATATTTTTCTTCTGCTGCCTTGTTTGATCAAGAATCCATCAAAATGTTATATTATTTTGAAAAGCTTAACATCTGGACACAAGACATGTCATACTTCAGTGGAAGGTCAAGGTTCAGTTGAAAACAGCTTGATAGTTTGAATGATTTGGCTGTTTAGACGAGTCTGACATCTGGATTTTTCTCAGGTTTTGTCTGAACAGGAAAGATCTTATATTAAGCAAATTAAATGCTCTGAAAAAAGGGTTTTGTGTAAGAACCATATATCTGGCATGTATTGAGACACATCCATGGTAACTGCTTGTAAATAAGGAGAGTTGGTGAAATGAGAAGGTGAGCTGTGATCACACTGAAATCCGTAATGCTGAATTCTGATTTACTTTTTCTCAGATCAGATTTTTTCATTTTCATTTGACTGTTCACATTGTTTTATAAATGTGGCCTGCCTCAGACTCCTGTGAGAGTGAGTCAAAGGTAACGCAGATGAAACCTGAGCACGTCAGTGATACTGCAGACCGCTGCCAGTGTTCCTGCTGTGACCTCCGCTGCTCTTTCATACTCTCAGACATTTACAACTCATGATCATGTAGATCATTCAAATGTGTTTATAGGTGTACACCTTTGAGTTACAAGTCCTCACGTAGATATGGTCACTCCAATATGAAGCTAAACTTTAGCAATAAGGAGAGTTGGTGGCAAGGAATGTATTTTTAAATTTTACATGCGGGTTGCACAGTTGCACAGGCTATTGATTAAAAACGCAGGATCAGGTACTGTGGACAGTTCAATTCTACGTTGACATATGTGCACTTGTCCATAAACGGCACAGAAGGCAGCCATTTTGCAAAAGAGAGGGGCTAAAGTGTCAGCTGGTTGGAGGTATTTCACGCTAGCTGGGCCAACATTTTGTACGGCTACTTGTGATATCTGCAAAGTCAATGTTTGAGGGTTGGATTGTTGCAAACTGTTGAGTAGAGCAAACCCAATTCAAACTGCACAAGTTTGTGACTGTGTTGTAAGTTATTGATAACCTTATTGCAGATGTTTTGGTTTCTATGACGATATAAGAACGAGGTACCCTCTGATGACTGCCTTTTTAAGGAATCCATTATTGTCAGTTGTATGGTACCCATTGGCGTGTAAGGTGGCCCTTTGGTGTCAGTAGTGCCAGGTGTAAGGTGGCCTTAAGGAGGGTGGATATCCATACCTGGGTGGATAGAGCATCTTCTTCGCCTCGGCAACCAGGGAGTTGTTCTCAGTCATCAAGAAGCCAGTAGCCATCGTTCCTGCGCCCAGGCTGGCCAGCAGCACAGCCGTGTTGCGGCCAGAGATTAGACGTGTGAAAGGGCCCGCCATCTTTACGTTAGTCGATTAAGTCTTTGTCAAAAGCAAAAGAGCTGCAGGGAGAATACACAGGAGAAGGCAACTTGTGTTAAAAAATATGATAAATGCAATTAGAAATATGTTTTAATGACTTTATGCACCTGATTCTGAGTTAAAAGTGATGACCTTAATTAACAGAAGGTGGAAAACTCCACATAAAGACAAAGCTATCACAACCTTAGCTCGGTTACATCTTATGTTAGCTCCTCAATGAGTCATGTTTTGTGTAATTTTATTATGGTAAATCATTATGATAGTGATTATATTTTTCTGCATAGCTAACAGGCTAGCAGTTAGCTCAACAGCCATAGTAGTTAGCCTAGCAATTAGCTACTTTCTGGTGTGACCTTGCATGTACTCGTGGAGCACTACTACTCCTGAAATACTATTTTTGGTGTTGTTTGTGTTTTTGCGACTTAAAAGGGTAGATTAGCGACCAACTCGAGTCGCTAGCGGCTGACCTAGCTGGTAGCTTAGGCCTATACCCATTTCAGAAACTTTTTTCTTTTCTAAATTAAACTATTTCCAAGGCTCAGAAGAAAATGCCGTACCAAAAAAAAAAGCATAGGCTACATCTTGAAGAGCTTTTGTGTCGCTGAATAACTGAAATGCTAGCAGTTAGCTCATCAGTACTTTAGCCTAGGAAGTGTCATTTTCTGATATGACCCTGCCACTAATCATGCACCTACAGAAGTGCTATACTTTTGGTATTGTTTATTTATGCTGTATGTATTTACAATGGGGGGATAAACACCCTCAGAAAGCATTCCTGTATAAATATTTAAGTCCAAAGAACTCATGTCTTTGTGCACAGTGTGAACATGCTGCCTAAAACCCCCCTGCTATGACCCCCCCCCCCCCAACAGGTTAAATACAGTAACAAGCTTAGGCTGGTAGGGGCTCTAGCAGATGCTCTTAGCCTCTTAGCATTACCCACAGGAGGATGAGTTTCATATGTCCACTAATGCTCCAGGTGGAACAGGCACACAGAGACGTCTGACAGGTGTAAATTACCAAGAGGGATTTAAAATGTTAAACATAATGCCTGAATTAAACGTTCTTAGTGAGACTGGCGAACTGAAGGTCATTTTTCTGGCTTGTCTTTCACACCGAGTGGGCAGTGGATCGTGTCTTAATATAGAGGGAATCTGTGAAGACATCAGGGTTCCTGTTAATCCTCATCAAAAGAAAGATGGTGATCAGTCCTTTGAATAATAACTTAATGATAATATTCACTCAATCAAGTAAAATAATTAGTTTATACAGCCTACTAAATTTAGCCGTCACTCTTTAATCCCGTCTCTCTCTTTCGAGGTAAATGACAGAAGTCACTTGGGTCAGAGCGAGTATTATTTATAGTTCAGCTGAGGGCAGTGGTTGCCAGGAACCCAGTGCCAAGAAACAGTCCATCTCTGGCTCTGTGACATTCTGAACTGGTCACAAGACAGGACCCTCATGAGGCCAAGTCCGCAGGACAGAGGGATGGGAACATGGAGAGGAACAGTTGTCAAGGTGAAAAGTTCAAGCAAATATAAAGTGTAGAGTAGAAATAATCATCAGGAGACATCGTAGACAATCTGCGCTCTGGCCTCTTAAAGCCTCTTCTGCTAGCTGACACTGGATCATATGGTCAGGATTACACCAAAACCACCACAGACCTGGGATCAGCCTCCCCTCCAAGCTGGGTGTGACCTTTTAACTCGTGAGTAGATAGACGCAAGACATAAGAGCAGCTTTGTCCTCTCCAAAGGACACAGAGTTAACACACCGTCAGAAACTTTTCATAAAATATTTAGGGAAAAATGTAAAGATACAGTCTTCACAAAAGGTGTTTCACACAGCTGCTTGTAAAGGTAGCAAAGCCTACGGTTATTTCAAATTTAGAAAATTAACTTACAATCTTACAATCGTCTAATTTCCTCAATTGGTGCAGAATTTGTAGAATACACTTCATCACATGCTGTTTCTAGCATCTAACTTATATTTAGGATCCTAAAATATTTAGGATTTTAGTACATGCATGTCACTGTAAAAACCCCACCAAATCCCTAAAAACATTCAAAAACAGACAGATAAAACATTTAATTTAGCTTTTAGCTTCTTCTATATACCCTCTGCTACTGCTTATACATTAACCCTGAGATATATCTGTATTTCCCTGAAGCTAACAGAGACTTTCTGCAAGAGAAGAAAGGAAAAGAAGGTACCGTACCTGTAGAAAAGCTGCTCTGCCTTCTTTCTGAAGGTGTCCTGTTTAAGAGCTCTCACTCTCCTCTCGGCGGGGGCTCCACCCCCTCATGTGGGATTAAAAAACTGGAGGCCAATCATAAGTTCAGAAACAAACCTTTACAAACCAATAGAGGGCCACAGGCATGAGCTGTGATAAACCATGACCACCCGGGGTCCGGTATCACCGTCCTGTTCGACCTTGATATTTTCAAGTCCAGCCAAAAACACACACACACACACTAATCTCTTCCTGTTTCCCACACACTCTGACCCTGACAAGTTTTACACAGCAGCTGAATAAAACATTTGAATTGAAACATTTTAACATTTTAACACTAGTTATTATAAAACATGACACAAGTATATAAACACAATCAAATTAAAAAGCGGATAAAGAAACACCGCATGTTGCACTGAAGTAACACTTTAAATTCTGTGTGGTACAATTTCACATGGTTGATAAAAATCTGGGAGTTTTCTATGTTGTGGCTCATGAAGCTTCTGAAGTCAACAACCCATCAGCGGTATTTAAAACTAATGCTGTTTTCACACATGTGCAAAACTCCTGAAAATGTCCTGAAATGTTCAGGGTGAGATGCATGTATGAAAGCAAACAATCAAATGTTTCACTCTGAATTTGGGATTTCTTCCTGCCAGTCCCAAAGTAAAATTTATGTGTGAAGTTGGTTGAGCTGTTGTGAGAACGCTGCAGGAAAAATTCAGGAAAATTTGCCGCAAGCGAGCCGGAGAGGGTGTTGACGTTTATATCCAATGACTGGCTAACAACCATAGACTGTATGTATGCTTTCTGTTTGCCGGTATGTTCTTCTTCGCTCTTTTGTTAATATTAAGAATATGTTGAACTACTCATAGCATTGATACAAAGGCAAAAATGTCTCATCATAGAGTCGGAATCATGTTTTTGCAGTGAAGATACAAGAAGATTAAACAAACAAGTACAAGACAATTTAAAAAGAAAGTTATTTTTGCTTTAAATTAATTCAAATGTATCTCAACCTACCATCCCAAAGTCTATTAACTTAGAATTTTAAGGATACTTAGTTTTTAAAGTTCAAACAAATACTTTTTTTTGCAGTGTTCTAGAGCCACAGACCATCAGCGTCCAGACCGGTGTACATTTTCGGTGACATTTAGACACATTTTTAAAACTTTTTATTCACAATATTTTCTCAATTTTTTTGTTTTGTTTTGGAGAATATATTTGTATTCTGTAGTTTTTGTCAAATGTTATGTATTTGCAATGCTTGTCTACATTTGTATTGTGATTTTGTATTTGAAGTGTCTTACTCATACAATGCATGTTTCTGTATTTGCACAGCATTTCTGTATTTTTCAGTTTCTTGTATTTGTGTCAAATAGATTTGTTTTCAGATGTCGTGTGTGGTTGCAGTGCTTTCCGAGTTCATGGCACTTTTTTGTGTTCATCATATTAACTTGTGTTTGCTGTATTTGCAGCGCAAGCTTTATTCAAAGCAAAGTTCTGCACAGCATTCCTGTATCTTCTTTGAGTGGTTGTTTCACATTTCTGCATGTGCGTATTTTTTGGTTTTGCAACTGGTTAATTTCAGATTCTTTTTTAACCAGTTTTCTGTATTTTATGGCCTCTTCAGTATTTAATCTGACTGTCATTGTTTTGCCTGTATTTTCTTGTTCCTCCCGTGTTTGTTAGTGTCAATTTTCTGTTTGCATATAAGTTGACGCAGTGTGCATTTTTTGAATAATCATTCAACATGTTTAAGTCGCACGCTTGTGTTTTGACTTCTTGCAGGTTTTATTTTTTTATTAAGCTGTGTCGCCCTGACCTCTCATCACTAACCATATCTCCTCCTGCATGATTAAAAACTGTTTGCAACTACATTATAATTCACTTTTATTGTGTGTAAATATCTGTACAGTACACAGAGAAATGCATGGAAAAATAACAACAGTAAAACTGGAATTTCAAAGTTTGCAGGAATGTAAGAAATCAAGGATCTTATATATCCAAGCCTGAAGCTTTTCAAGATTCCTGGCGTCAGGAATGTGTCGAAATAAAAAGATTTAACTTCATAAAACGTTTTCAGTAAACTACAGGATAACAGTATTCTTAAGGAAAGAGGGACAATCATGCTAAAAACAACTTCAGAGTCTATTGACATTCTTTTTCACCGGATATTATAAAGATATCACAATTTAAAGTATACAGTAAACAAGGTTTGAAATATAAATATGACTCTAATATCACATTGACGAGGAGCTAATAATGACAGAAAAACTGTGCGGAGAATCCAGAGCATTTAAGAAAGCTTTGAGGCCAACTCTTTCAAAAAGAGACGCGAAGAGGATAATTCAAACAGCAGAACATCTGATACAAAATGACCCGAGTCTGACAGAAAGAAAACGACACGTGCATTTTGAAAAAATACAAAATATGGAGATATCTTGATCATATTTTTCTAATTTGGAATGTGTGTTCGCTGCAACATGCAAATGCATCAGCAAAACATCAGCAACTGCAAAAACTTGAACCTTTAGTGTAAACTGATGAGTAAATATTTAAAAAAGGTCAAGTAAAAGCCTGTTTACTCAATATGTGTCGGCATCAATACTGAGGGAAACAGGAGAGATTTATGGTTAATTATAGAATTTAACTGTACTGCAGCTGGCTTTATTTGCGACAAAAACAGGAAGTTCTTACTCTGAGTGTCCTGTCAAATTTGAAGTCCAGTTCAAATCAAATCCAGTTATAATTTCAGGAGAAGTACTTTTTGAGTTCTGTCTTTAGGGGCGGCAGAGGCCAGGCATGAAATCTCACAAAACAAGCTATTTGCATTTCAAGAAAGCAAGTCAATATGTTCAGAAAAAAAAGTTTAAAGCATATTTTTTTCCCCAACATTTTGAGCTGTTTTGAGTCTGAAAGGCGTATACATGCCTTTATATCTTGCAGTTAAGATTAAAAACAAGCTTTTCAACAACTTCAGCATGCAGCGTTTCACATGTTTTGAAATGTTTCCCTCCATATCCCCGTTATCACGTGGTGATGCAGAGTGCTGATGATGGATTAATGTTGGGTCTGTGTCGATAATATAACAAAGAGTAAGATCTACTTCCTGCTCTTTTGTAAAGTGTCTTGATAAAACATTTGTTATGAATTGGCGCTATACAAATAAAGACCGATTGATTAATGGATGATGAGGATGTGTATCACAACGATTGTCTTAAACCAAGCAGCTCCTGGAAAGTGTTAAAGCAAAGGCATACACTTCAGTTTTTAAAACTTGAGACATCGCGCCTCAATCAGTGCATTTAGAGGACGGACGTACCAGTGCATCTCTCTCTCTCTCTCTCTCTCTCTCTCACTCTCTCTCTCTCTCTCTCTCTCTCTCTCTCTCTCTCTCTCTCGGTTGAAAAGGTTTAAAAGAGAGATGAGGTTGAAAAGGTTTAAAAATACCCCCTCCCCGCTCCCCCCCTTATAACTTTATTTTACAGTGTGACTTTGTTTTTGACACTTTGGTTTTCTTCTGAACGTTTGGACTTCAAAAGTTTAAAATAACAAACAAACAAAAAAACCTCAACTTCCTCCTCTTAGTTCATCCTCATGCCTGGCCCTTATTCTGAAAGTTTGACTTTAATCCAAAACATGACGACTCTTCCTTTTGCTTCAGCAACATGCAGTTTGCATTAGCATCGTTTCTGTGGTGCAGGCATGTCATTTTAACACATACAGATTCTCACTTTAAAGCTGTAAGGTCCAAAAAAAAAAACTATTTGGAAACTGTGTTCATCTTACAAAATGAGCTAACTCATCCGACAATACGTACATGTGAGACTACAGAGGCAGACTGTCTGGTATTAACAGCACGGTAGCAGCAAAGGTTACTCTCTAGTGCCAGGTTCGTTAGCTGAAAACAGAACTTTCTACAGTCATATGGCAGAGTTGTGTTTGTGTGTTTTACGTCATTCTTGTTTATATTATTTACACAGCAGAGTTTTTTTTACAACAAGGCACTTTTTTCTCCTGAGAATCCTGAGCACGATAACCGGTTATGAAACAAAAACCCCACTTCATTAAGGACGAATCTTGAAGTTGTGTTTGTACATGATTGAGATTGTAAGACTAAAAATATGTGTGTGAAAGGGGAAGGGAAGGATTAACCAGGAGGTACTCGGGGTTCGATCTTCAGCGAGAGCTCATAGAGGGTGTCTTCATCCATCACGAGAGTTTTATCCAGGAGGAACTGAGTCACCTGCCGGGGGGGAGGAGGGACACAGAAGACAAGGTGGTGAGTGATTGTAGTTAAGTCGCTTGATTTTGCAAGAATTGATAAAACGGTGAAAGCAGTGGAGTCACCTTGGGTTGGTGCTCTATCCTGTAAGGTGCTTGCTGAAACTGACGAATCTCCCGAATGATGTGAGAAATCTAAGGGGGGAGAAGAGACAGAGTAACTTACACTCCATTTGTCTGATTTTTTTATGTGATTTTTCACACTTAAATGTAATATAAATCAAGTATATCCTCTGAAAATAACTCTGTGAGTCATGACTGTCTACAATGGGTGTAACACCGAGTCCCACTGTCTGTGATGCTTTCAGAGTTTTCAGAGTCCTATCTTCACTTTGTTTACATCGCCCGGACGGCCGGCTGACTCCTCCCCTCGTGTATAAAAGTTGTTTAATTGAGGGACTAGAGAAAAGAAGAATAACATACTGTACTCACTGCTTAACTGTGTTTCTAGATCACGCTCATTTCAGGTAAATTTACATGCAGTGTGAAGATACCAGCATAATAAAGATCGCTAGCATTAGCATGCTAACACAACAATGCAGCGCGAGTTGTTTTGGTTTCATGCTGGTGCTCAAGGGCGACATCTGCTGGATCAAAAAAATTGCATATAAAGCCTTTAAGGGTGTTTACTCTTTTAGTAATAATCAAACCAGATTCTGCCGCAACCTCGTTCAACCAATCATCCTGCTGCGGTCAAATTTTAAAATCTGTTCTCTCTCTTCTGCAGTCAGGCGATCACTGTGACCCTCCTCCGCCTCGGTCAGCTCCATCCCAGCACCACCACCAGTGTCTAGACTCCATCAGGGGGGTATCTTATCCTGCTGTCGGCCTCGCTACCCCTCTGGCAATTAGACTCCTTCATGACTCCTTCTCTCAAACTCATTGAATATCTATCTTCTCCTAAACTGTTAAATCAATAATCGTCCTCTCTTAATTAAGTCTCTCCTGATTGGAATGACTGTTTAGCCAGCCTGTGGTAACCATGGTAACCCCCCCCCTCACATGGAGAAATGTCATTACCATCCTCATCTTGGAGAAGTTAACCAGGCCCTCTTCTGTGAAGTTCGGCGTGCCCTCCTCAATGAAGGCCAGGTCTGTGAGGTACATGCCCAGGTACGGGACGCACGGAGGGTTACAGCTACAAACATAGAGCAGATATAAGACAGCTTGTAAAGACATTCAGAGCTTTATTTTTTTTTCGAGCTGGATTTACTTTTTCAGAGTCTCTCGCAGGTTCTTGAACCTCCCTTCTGATGACACCGTCTTCTGCAGCCGGTCCATCAGAGATTTTGTCTTAAAAAATAAAAATAAACAAAGGACAAATATCAAAAAAGGTTTCATGCAGAGATCTTTTCACAACCAGTTGAATGATCTGACTCGACCTGTTTGCAGACTTTTGCCCACGTCTTCTTCAGCCTGAAGATGGCGCTGCGATTGAGAGCGGACGTGATCTCCAGCACGCCGTTGTAGTTGTTGAGGCAGCGACAGATGTCGGCCACAGCGAGCCACTTCTCAATGGAGCTGGCTCTGGAGCCCACGTCAGTGTGAGTCATTATCTGAGACGCCACCAGGTTACTCATCTGTAGAGGGAGAAGAAGAAGAAGAAGAAGTGACTTTAAAGGTCTTTTATTTTTTTTTACCTTGTCGGACATTAACCTCCACTCAGCGCCTGACTCACAAAAGGATTTTTTGTTTTTTGTGCAACCGGGTCAAAAAGACACAGCCAAATTCAAAAAACACATGCAGGGGATCGAATGCTCCCTAACTGTGCTGGAGAGCAAACAGCGTCTCTGTGCTCTATATATAATTAAAAAAATAATTAAAAAATAAAAAATAAGTCCCTTTCTATGCAATCGACCTCATTGTAAAACAACATCTAATTCAAAAACACTAGAGCAAACAGCTACGCGAAAATTGAGTGGAAAAATGATGGTGGATTTTATTTTTGGTCTTGCTCAGGGAGGACACCCAGGGGTGGAGGTTGTTGGAGGAATTATAAATCCCTTCTGGCCTGGGGATCCCCCAGGAGGCGCTGGAAAAATGTTGCTAGGGAAAGGGAAGTCCGGGGCGACTTGCTTAGCCTGCTGCCACTGTGACCCGACCCCGGATAAGCAGAACATAACGGATGGATGGATGTGCTATGAAAGTCACATAGTAAGCTTTTAAAGGGGACATATTATGAAAATCCACTTTTACAGTGTTTTTGAACATATATTTGGGTAACCTGAGTGTCTACTGATCCACAAAATGTGAAATAAATCCATCCAGTCCTTTGTTTGTGGTCTGCACAAGTCTTACAACACTGAGAAAAATGCTCTGTTTACAATGTGCTCTCCTTGTGATGTCATAGTGGGATTCTGGTAAAAAAAAAAATCCCCTCCCCTGGTATCTCCACCCATGGACTCTACCTCCAGCCTAGAACAAAACTTTTGCGCAGGTCTGACATTTTTATTATCCTACAGAGGAGTGATGTCTACCGGGATTGCATTTAAAGAGACACACACGCCAAAACGGAGCGTTCTGAGAGAGCTGGTTTATACAGGGTCACAAACCTCCTCTGGTGCTTGATTCATGTTATATTTTGACTAAAGCACAGCACAGATGTTTCATTTAGACCAAGGGGGCTGTTTGAAAATGTGGGAAAGGGGGATAATATGTCCTATTTAAAGAATGAAGCTAAGAAGATTTATATGTTGCCATGTAATGCAATAATTACATAATGTTGATGTTAGCAGTTAAAGTAGAAATGATGAGTGGAGATGGAAAGGGTGAATAAAGGCTGTTAGTTCTTTCTATACCACCCGTGTTTAAGTCAGTGCCCCAGTTTGGTCTGGTCCCGCCCCTCCAGCTGGTTCAATGTGTTTAAGACTCTGGGAAATAAAGACCATATAGATTCTTACATCATTAAAATGTTGGCTGGTCTTCATGATGTACGGAGTCCTCTCTGTCTTATCCACCTTCATCCAGCCCTGACCCAGGAACTCCCTGTAGGATCACACACAGTATAATAACAACACATACAAGGAGTCTGACTCCAGATATACACAAATCAAGTACAACCTTCAGGTTTTAACTATCATACAATGTCTCTTAACTTCTTTAAAAACATTGATAAATAGTAGAGCCAGACCGATAAATCAGCCGATATTAGCTCATCCAGTGACTATCGGGATCGGCTACTTTTATCACAGATATGCGCAGATATTTCTAGATTTATTCCCCGGTCAAAAAGCATGTTATTAGAGTTTCTTTGTATTACATTAGCAGTTCTTTTCACCAGCAGAGGGCGCTGTATGGATTACGAGTGTAAAGCGGTAATGCACGTACATGCATCCATCTTTCTTCCTTCTATATTTTTTGTGTTTGATAACTGCATTTGTGGGATCAATTCAATAAATGTGTATATATTTATCTATTTCTACAGACATAAGATAGATCTTTGAAAGATATCGGCCAATATATCGGTATCAGATTTCCTTCTATTTCTAATATCGGTATCAGACCCAAAAATCTCATATCAGTCGGGCCCTAATATGTAGGTTTCTCAAAATGTAGTTTGTGTTCAGCTGACTTACACTTGAATTTAATCAAATTAAACCAACTGAAAACATAAAAACAATCTTTAAATAGTTACTTGAGAGTGACAGAATTCAACATCTAAAAGGAAATATTTGGAGATAACAAACGCGAGAAAGAAAATGCAAAATAAAGATCCATCCAAACGTCTATTCTCCTCTTTGTGTCTTTATACCTGGTGCTGTGTTTGCAGTGTGGGGGCGTGTGATGTTGTGCTTCACGTTGTACTCACTCATAAGGGATACTCCTGAACACGATGTGATCCAGCAGAGTGATCTGTTCGGCCAGCTCCATCGCCGACAGAGACTCGAAACACTCGGGCTTCGGACTCTCCGCCTGCAAACACAAATGCTCTGAAATTAATCTTTGAACTGTCCAAAAAAAGAAATCTGTGTAAGAAGAAGTACACTACCACACACAATACCACATTAGAAGCTAACGCTACATATCAGGAAGTTATTCCGACATTTTCTCTTTTTTTAAATAAATGGTTTAGGAGCTCTGTGTGGGTCCTCTCTTTGGGGGAGGGGGGGATGAAAACAGTTCATGTCTTTGTCGCTTTAGTGAAAAAAGTTATCTAATGAGTAAAGTAGAACTATAGTAGTTTAATGACCCGTCAGGAGCGTCAGGGAGCCTAGTGGGTAGTGTGTGCGCTCCATGTGCAGAGGCTGTAGTCCTCCAAGCGGACGGCACAGATTCAAATCCGTGGCTCTCTCTCTTCCTGATTTCTGACTCTCCCCACTGTCCTGTCTACCTGTTGGGTACATATTGTCCTTGAATCCATTTCTATTTTTGCTCTTGATTTGCAACGGATAATTTTACATATTCTGAACTTTTGTCGTACACTAGTGTTTCAACATTTTTCGGTTAATTTATGTCGCTATATAATGACGTACTTCCATGACCTTTGCACCCTGACGAAGGCTCTGATGAGCTGAAACTTCATCTATAGCCATGAACTAATAAAGGCCTTTTTTCTTTTTGTAAAACAACAGAGTGCCTTGGATATCTGTTTGTGTTTACCTTCTAGTGTTGTAGTACTCAAAATTAGTCTTGTACTAATTTCTCAAGACCACTTTTTGGAGGTCTCGTCATCTGAATCTGAAGCATTCACACTGGATGGACTCTAGATTTTGAAATCAAGACCGGTCAAGGCTACCACTAAGTTTTCCACATAATTACTTTAATTAGAAGGAAAATGCGTGTTTCTAAAAGAACAAATAACTTCATCATTTAATTTTTACGGCCTCAACCTACCCTGTGCTACGGTCTAAGTGAGTGACAAGCCCCCTGCACACAAGTTCATTTTTTTGGATGATTTTTTAGTGATATTTATGGTCATGGTCTTGTGTTGTGTCCCAATCCCTAAATGTCTTGGTCTTGTCTCGGAGCAGTCTGGTCTCGGGAACGTCCTGGTCCTGGTTAGTGTGGTCTTGACTTCAACACTTTTGCTTGCTATATTCTTCAGATAAATTTTCCCACTCAAGTGACCAACACATCGTCTGTTTTCATATTGGGAAGTTAAACCATGACTAGGATGTGAGAAAGACACTAACGGTACAGCTGCTGGTTTTTCTGTAACTGAGATGAGCTCTAAATCAAACGTTATTCTTACCACGATGAAGTGCAGTAGGGGACAGCTTTTCTGGAGATAGATTAGTTCAACAACGTCTTAAAAAACGTACTCTTTGATAAACTTTCTGCATCTGAATGAGTCCTTCAATTAAAGTTTTATGGTAGTTTATAACAGGGAATAATACAAACCATCTGTAAAATGTCCTCAATCTTCAGCTGAGCGTCGTCTTGTTCGTCTTGAGAAAGGGCACTGCAGAGAAAACACTCGTTTGTGAACAATTCTAGAAGTTGTCAGGAGTGAATCAGCGGACGGCGCTTTAGACGGATGCTCTCGTGTTTGGGCTTTTCACCTTAATATGTTGGTGGTGGCTTTCCTCTCCTGGGGCAGCAGGTCTGGATCTCGCAGCACCTCCTCCAGGAGACACATCACTCCCATTTTTAGATCACTGTTCATGTCAAAGTCCTGGTGGAGGAACACATTTTTACAAGATTACAGCTGACACACAGTTAGAGATCATATTTGTTTTTTTTATTGCAGCATGTTTTCAGGAAAGAGTGACTCGAGTCGACAAGTCAGGTCCCAGCAGGGTCTCGTTTTTCTTGATGAAATCCACGATATGATGAATCAAAGACATTTTACTTTACTTTAAAACATTTTCTTTTTAACTGTTATAATAAATCTACAACACTTTTCTCTCATCATGTCCACAGTTTGAGAGAGGGCAGTTTACAGGGAAAGGACGCCCTCTAGAGGACATCTACATCGAGTGGTGTGTGACAGGCACTTCATGTTTGGCTCTGCGGCACCAGCTGAAAATCTGCTCGAAAAAAAACAGATCTGTATGAATAAAAAATCTTAATGAAAAATGGAAAATTAAGGGAAAGGTCCTGATTTCAAAACTGTTGAGAGCTTTAAAAAAAGAGCATGTTTCATTCGTTTATGTTGCATGTTTTCAACTTGATCTTTTCATAGATTTCTACAGAGACATAAAAAATCTAATTCTTTTTAAATCATACAAGCTGCTCATGATTTTAGTGTTTGTTTGGTCCAAACAGCGTCTACATATCAGAGCCAACAGACTCTGTTATAGCCCACATGCAACAACATCAGAGTTCACTGATGTGAAAAAAAAAACAACTAAATGTTCACTTTTCAGGCCTCTACATTCAGGTTACTGAAATAGCTTCTTATATAATCTTAAATGAAAGTGATAGTCCTTTTAGTGTCCTGGGGAGGCTGCTGACCTTTCTGCATGCTTCCTGGGTGGGAGAAAAGACACGCAGCGCAAAGAGCACCTTCATCAGGGGGAAACAGTGACAGGAGAGGACACTCATGGGAGGGAGGGAGGGATGAAAACAAACAACAACAGGCTCTTAAAGGTTAACCCAAAGTGTCATGGTTCAGGTTTTATGTAAACTGTAGGTAATGGCTTTTTGACAACCACTGAATAATATTTGCAGAGATGTAAACTCTGCCGTGTCATTGTGCAGCTTCTTGCTCCGTCATGCTCTCTTTTTCTTTCCTGAGCGTCATCAGTCACCACCCTCTTCCGTCTATTAGCGACGGTCTAACTAGCTTCTTTTTAAAACTGGAGGCTGTGTTGTGAAATAGGCGACGTAATGCTGCATGCACTTCTTGCAAAATGACCCCCGGCCGGCTGCCAAAGTTACATAGTGCAGTAAACGGGCGACTGGGCAGCTCTGGGGACATGGAAGAGACGCCATTCTTACTGTTGAAGGTTATTGTGCTTTTAAACCGAAGTTTAAGAACTACTTTTTAAAGGCTTTATATGTGATTTTTTTTTGATCCAGCAGATGTCGCCCTTGAGCACCAGCATGAAACCAAAACAACTCGCGGTGCATTGTTGTGTTAGCATGCTAATGCTAGCGATCTTTATTATGCTGGTATCTTCACACTGCATGTAAACTTACCTGAAATGAGCGTGATCTAGAAACACAGTTAAGCAGTGAGTACAGTATGTTATTCTTCTTTTCTCTAGTCCCTCAATTAAACAACTTTTATACGTGAAGGGAGGAGTCAGCCGGCCGTCCGGGCGATGTAAACAAACTGAAGATAGGACTCTGAAAACTCTGAAAACATCACAGACAGTGGGACTCGGGTGTTACACCCATTGTAGACAGTCATGACTCACAGAGTTATTTTCAGAGGATATACTTGATTTATATTATATTTAAGTGTGAAAAATCACATATAAAGCCTTTAAGGCTGAAAAGTAACATATTGTTGGTTTAAAAATCCTGCATGCAGGAAAACTTGGTGTCCCATCACATGCAAAAAGTTCCTATTTTATTCAATCCTGCAACCCAGTCAGCCTGAGAGCATGTTTGTCTGAGTCACTTCTAATCGAGTTATAGAAGAACTCATAGAGATGTACATTTTGCACGCCGTTGACTCACCTGCGAGTGCTTGGAAACCCAGTGTCGCAGCACGTTGAGGACTCTGTTGGTAGCAGCTCTCCTGATGATGAACTCTTTGTCACAGACTTTGTCAGAGTTGAAACCTACGAGAAAACAAATGAAAGACGTAAAACTGACTGAAGACTTCACGAGGAGTCTGAGCATCAAAAATCCAATCGTCTCCCTCCCTTTGGCTTTATCACGCTCACCCTGCGAGCTGCTGTGGCCCGCGGCAGCTGTGGCGATCGCAAACGCTGAAGCGGGCGACATGGCGCAGCGAGAGTTCTCCCCCGCTGTGACTGCGGAGGAACAACGGGAAGGATTACAATCAGGAGGAACAGCAGCAAATGCAAGCTATGTTTTGTATAATGTGTGTATCTGTGTGTGTGTGTACCTCCTGACGTTCTATAGCGGAGGTGTCTCGGTGTAGAAGGCGAGCGGCAGGGAGACATGTCGCCTGCCTCCGTGCTGGCTGGAGATTCAGGGATAAATTTGTCCAGAGACACTGACTCCAGGACGGCTTTTAGAAAGACAGAAAACAAAGATTCAAATCTCAAACATGCATCGTGGTTCATTCAGTCACCGCAGACTTTACTCGATGAGCAGGAGAACTCATCTTTATATCAGTACAACATGCATTGTTAAATTAACTCCTTCAACTGAAGATATTCTACAATTCTACAATTCACTTAGCAGACGCTTTTATCCAAAGCGACGTACATCAGAGAGTAAGAACAACACAAGCAAGGATCTAGAAAAAAAGGAACAATGTGAGTAAGAGCAAACGATCAGCTTTGAGTCTGATTGGACACACAGGTGCTGACAGGAAGTGACCAGAGGCAAAGCACAACATTGAGGGCAGTTCTTGAGAGCTCTAATCAGTATAGAAACCATCTTATAAGTCTTATAAGATATTTAACACAAACACTGATTGGACATCTGCAAAAATGCGGCTGAATTCCCTTGAAATAAAAATCACTCATTGCAAAGAAATGTCTAATGAGACTGATTTACTATCCAAAATGCAACAATTACATTATTATTACTCATTACTCACTTTAATTCAAACTCACAATTATTTAAATCGCACCTTAATGTTTGCACTGACTGTTATTTAATGTTTGTTTTTTTATAAGTTTCTTCTTTTTAAACATTGCTAAAAAAAATTGATTCATCTAGAGGTATTCTTAAATCTTTTTTTCAGGTTAATATATATGTATGGGGGGGGCGTCGGTTTTTGTGGTTAATTTGTAACAAATGTTTCATGTACGTCTTTGTAACCTGCTACTGGATGCTTTGAATTTCCCTCTGCATCAATAAAGTATCTATCTATCTATCTATGCAATAATGTAAAAGCTGGGTTTCACTGATGTACTTGGTTGAGATGATTTGATAATTTTCATTAAAGTGCTGTTTTTTTTTCTCTGTAATCAAATGTTTGGTTTGTAAAATGTCCTCTAATAGTGAGAAATCTTGCAAAAAAAAAAAAAAGAAGACTAGAAGTGATCTAAAAATACTTTGCATGAATCAAACATGAATCTACCCTTTGAATGAGCCTGCATAACAGACTGGTTGTTGTTTTGTGTGTATCTTTGGCCTGCTGCTCCCCAGGCTCTTTTGTATTTTGGGTCTTATTGGAGTGCTTCCAAATTCATTCATTCAATATGTCTCTGTCTGCTATGTAAGAACTCCATTTATCTTTTCATTCCTTTTTTTTTTTCTTTTCTCCTCTGCAGTTTGTTGTCAGAGGTTTTTTTTTTTTCGGTGACCCTGAGAGGCTCTGCTGCTGTTTTCATAGTGAACAAGCTGTCGGCTGGAGCCAGATGGTGATCTAAGAGCACGATGATGATTCCTCCGTTGGGTAACGCTGACCCATTTATGTCTCTTTCTCCCCTCGTCTGTTTGGGGATGGCAGGACACTGTCAGGGATGTGTGAGATTATAGTGCAAAAAAAAAAGTTGAATAAATCAGATTTAAAAGGCATGAGCAACCTAAACTCTGCATGTACCTGTTTTTAAAACCTGAGTTTGCAAACACTGAAGAAGTGTGTGTGTGTGTGTGTGTGTGCGTGAGCCCACACATGTGCTGCTGCTCATGTGTGTCTGTCAGAGTGTGAATCATGTGCCTCTGTGTTCCAGCTTCATACCCCTGCGGATGCTTCGCCTAAGCTTCCCGCAGAAGGCGTCGAGGCGAGGCAGCTCCCCGCTGACGTCCTCCGCCGCGGCGGGGCTCAGCTCAGGGGAGCTGGGACCGCGGCTCAGGTCCAGGGGGGCCTTCGTGGGGACGGGGGGCGGCGAGGACACCCCAGAGGCCTGTGGGAGGCTTGGGGAGCGCTTGGCGGTGGGCGGAGGAGAGAAGAAGCCAGAAGAGGGCCTGCCAGAGCCGGGAGGAGGGGAAGAAATGGAGGGGCAGTAGCTGGAGGTGGGGGAATTGGCTGCGGAGGAGGTGGGGGTGGTGGAGAGGTCCATGACTTTCGAGCTGACGGGCGAGCTCAGGGAGAGCTTGCGGGAGTGGACGGGGGAGGAGGTGCGAGAGGGGATCGAGAGGGGAGGAGGAGAGGAGAACTTGCGACACAGGCGAGGGGATTTGTTGTTCAACGGGTCGGTCGCCCACGAGCCCTGGTTGGTGGCAAAGAAGAGCTCCAGAGACCTGAGAGAAGAAGAAGAAGAGGAGGAGGACGAAGAGGAGTGTTACTGCTGATCTGTGACCGACCCCCCTGTGGTTAAAAAGTGAAGTCCTGCTTTGTGTGTTTACTTTGACTGGTCCAGAGCCAGCTGTGTGATCTTCAGAGTGTAGTCGGGACAGAGGGACATGATGGACAGACGGTCACATGAATGTTGCTCGATCCTGGGACAGTGACAGGAGGAGGAGGGGGGGGAGGAGGAGGAGGAGGGGGAGGAGGAGGAGGAGGAGGAGGATGAGGATGAGGAGGAGGAGGAGTGTATGACAGGATGATAGATGAAGGAATGAGCCGATGATGAAGGAGAATGACAAGAACAAAATGAGATAAAAGATGAGTGAATTCACTGCAGGCAGACAAATGAGAGGAGAAGGAAGATGATGCATGAATGTGTGCAAATGAGATTCCAGTAATTTAATCCTGCGCTGTATTCATTAAAACAATTTGGGGTCTAATTGACTATAAGGTCAAAAATATTTGGGATTAAACCAGTCGCTGTTTCAGCCTGAAGTCGTGAAGCAGACTTTAATGTCTGCAAAAAAATCCTTTGGGAGAAATACACTCGATCAAAGTGCGGATGCTGGCCTAGGCCTGCCTTGATCGCTTTGTTTGTTTGTTTGTATTACTGAGAAACTTTGGTGTCTAAAATCGATGGTTAAAACCCGAGAAATTATCTGAGTAACACACAATAACACGAAAGAAACGTACAAAGAAGAGAAACTTCTGAGTTCTGCAAAGTTAAATTACAAAGAAATGGCTGTTTCCATTCTGTATCTCTGTAGGGATCGATTTTTGTAATCCATCCATCCTTCCATCCATCCTTTCATCCATCCTTCCATCCATCCTTCCATCCATCCATCCATCCTTCCATCCATCCATCCATCCTTCCATCCATCCTTCCATCCATCCTTCCATCCATCCATCTATCCTTCCATCCATCCTTTCATCCATCCTTCCATCCTTCCATCCATCCTTCCATCCATCCATCTATCCTTCCATCCATCCATCCATCCTTCCATCCATCCTTCCATCCATCCATCCATCCTTCCATCCATCCATCCTTCCATCCTTCCTTCCATCCATCCTTCCATCCATCCATCCTTCCATCCATCCATCCATCCATCCTTCCATCCATCCTTCCATCATCCATCCATCCATCCATCCTTCCATCCATCCTTCCATCCATCCATCCATCCTTCCATCCATCCATCCTTCCATCCATCCATCCTTCCTTCCATCCATCCTTCCATCCATCCTTCCATCCATCCATCCTTCCATCCATCCATCCTTCCTTCCATCCATCCTTCCATCCATCCTTCCATCCATCCATCCTTCCATCCTTCCATCCTTCCATCCATCCTAGGACAAGAGAAACTTCTGAGTTCCGCAAAGTTAAATTACAAAGAAATGGATGTTTCCGTTCTGTATCTCTGTAGGGATCGATTTTTGTAATTGTTGTCGGACAGTCTGAGTCAGTCATTGACAGAAATCAAACATTCTAATGGACGTACTTTGATCGGCTGCATCTGCCTGCAGCGATTACAAACCATTAGAGTCTATTTCATCGTGTCGGCTTAGGCAATCGACTGGAGCAAATCCAAAACCTTTTTGTTATTAGATAATAAAACACGTTTAAAATAGGGCCCATGTTAACTCAATGCCTGAGAGCAGTGATGTTTACCTGACAGGTATGGAGGTAAACGGCTTCTTGTAGATGTCTGCCAGCTTGTCGATGACCACGGCGGCTGTGGTGAAGATCCTGTACGTGTGGAGGAACGTGTTCAGGAAGTCTATGGAGAGGAACCTCAGGTCGGTGAGGCGCTCCAGGAGCCGCTCCACGCTGGCATATCGGATCTGAGGGACTTTGCAGGAGTTGAGCGTCTTGCTGAAGCAAATGTCGACGTCGTCTTTGTGCAGACGAGCGTCGGACCTGAGGGGAAGAGTTAAACATGTTAATGTCAAATCACTACGACCATGCTGTTATCTCCTCTGCTTTTAGAGCTTTTTTCTTACTTGATCATGTGCGGCACCGAAACTTTGGAGTTCTCCTCGAACACGCTGGTCATCAGGCCGTTACAGCGGATATTATCGATGCACTGAAACACACAGCAGTGACACATTCTTCCTTATTAAATGACAAAAATGATTGCCATATTGTCTTTGATCCAAAAGCTTTGGCACAGTGAGGCTCACCTGGCTGATGTCGCTGGTCCACGCTGCTTTCTCCTGACGTGAAGGAGCCAAGAGAACGACGGAGAAGGACTGACCGTCAGGAGACTCCACCACGATTTTAAACTGCAGATGGTTGAAACCCTGACCTGCAGCGTTGTCTGTAAAGTCAAACACACGTTCAATGCAAATGTTGGTGTAAAGGTTTTCAAAAGTGTTGATACTTTCAAAACAATATAATCTGTCATTTAAATAATCCATGTTATCAAAAAGTACCAAAACTTTGAAAAAAACTGCAGAACTTGAGTCATTTTCTTTTTTTACTCAAAGCTGTCTTCAGTACATCCATCCATCCAACAATCCATCCATCCATCCACCCATCCTTCCATCCTTTCATCCATCCATCCATCCATCCTTCCAACCATCCTTCCTTCCATCCTTCCGTCCATCCATCCTTCCAACCATCCATCCGTCCTTCCATCCTTCCAACCATCCATCCTTCCATCCATCCATCAATACATCCATCCATCCTGCCATCCACCCTTCCATCCATCTTTCCATCCTTCCATCCATCCACCGTTCCTTCCATCCATCCATTCTTCCATCCATCCATCCATCCTCCCATCCATCCACCCTTCCATCCATCTTTCCATTCTTCCATCCATCCATCCATCCATCCACCGTTCCTTCCATCCACCGTTCTTTCCATCCATCCATCCATCCTCCCATCCATCCATCCACCTTTCCATCCATCTTTCCATTCTTCCATCCATCCATCCATCCATCCATCCATCCATCCTTCCATCCATCCATCCATCCATCATTCCTTCCATCCATCCATCCACCGTTCCTTCCATCCATCCATTCTTCCATCCTTTCATCCATCCATCCATCGTTCCTTCCATCCATCCATCCATCCACCGTTCCTTCCATCCATCCATTCTTCCATCCTTTCATCCATCCATCCATCGTTCCTTCCATCCTTCCATCCATCCATCCATCCATCCATCCACCGTTCTTTCCATCCATCCATTCTTCCATCCATCCATCCACCATTCCTTCCATCCACCGTTCCTTCCATCCATCCATTCTTCCATCTTTCCATCCTTCCATCCATCCATCTTTCCATCCTTCCATCCATCCATCCATCCATCATTCCTTCCATCCATCCATCCACCGTTCCTTCCATCTACCGTTCTTTCCATCCATCCATCCATCAATCCACCCTTCCATCCATCTTTCCATCTTTCCATCCTTCCATCCATACATCCATCCAAGCGTGGTTAACATATTAGTGCAACTTATACAAAAATTATTAAAACAAGAATATAGACTCATATCAGGTTCTTAGGAATTCTTTATTTGTTGCCATGGTATCGAAACATATATTGATATGGAAATTCTTGTATTTTGACATCCCTAACTGGTGTGAAGTATCAAATCCATCGAGGTTACATATGATCAGATGTTTAAATACTCACAGTCTTCATCACTGATATCCAGCTCTTCAATCAGTGTGCACTCAATCAGAGACAACGTTCCTCCTTGCTGCTCGTGAAGAAAAACAAGAAAATTCCGCTTTTATTTTAGACTTTTTTACCTCAAAGTTTACCTCAAAAGGAGAGATTCAAAAAAATTTTTTGAGCGGATTTCACTAACATCTCTCCTGTTAATGGGATGTGTGTTAACAGCTGAGGCTGACCTTGAGCAGGTGAAGCTTTCCTCCAGATGTTCGGGTGCAGATGAGGAAGTGTTTGGTGAACAGGAAACACTGTCGCTCTCCCTCTTTCCTGAGTGAGAGGGAGCCCAGCCGGACCTTACTGAGCACGCCCCGCTCGCTGCTGGACGGCAGCTGGATCAGAGAGCCTGCATGACCAACAGTCAGGAGTCAGGGAAAATAACGTAAAAAAAGTCTCTTATAGGGCTTTCACACCTGCAGAAAAGTCCTGGAAAACCCCTGATATTTCCAAGGGAGGAGCTGTATGTGTGAACACAAACAGACACACATTTTACACTCTGACTCTGGTGCACGATGCATAGACTGTCTGCACGTGATCTCCGTTCATGTAATTAAACTGCTCCATTTCTTTCTGTTCTACAGTTTGTTCAGTCCTGAAACTATCTAGATACTTTCAGGAGTGCATATGTGAAAACAGCTTTAGAGAGAGTCTAAGGAAAAGCTCACCTTGTCTGACAAAAGTCTGACTGGTGTCTAAGAGGATGTCACAGCCTTCAACGATCATCCTCTCTATGGCGAGGTTCTTCCTGATGTTCTCTGTGTCGCTCACTTCATCGTGCATCATCCTACCAACAGGAACAATCATCATTAGCAACGTTAAGACCATCTATTGTTTTACATGTCTGTGAAACGTGCCGACTCTCACTTTGAAAGCTCTTCCAGTTTGGATTTGGCAAATTCCAGACTCTTTCTCTCCACGTGTTCATGAGGTGTGTGAGCCAGTAGCTCATGGAGGGTGATGATGTACCGCGGGATCTTAAAATACAGATGAAAACACGTTCTATATCTGGTAATTCATCAAGCTATCAAGAGTGTTTTTTATCATGTTTGCATAAGGTGTGCATATTGTACCTGGAACATGGGGTAGGTGAGGAAGGTCTCCAGCATGCGGCCCTCGCAGGCAGCATTGGACTCGTACTGTTTGAGCAGTTTGTCAAAGTCTCGGTTCTGTTTGCAGTTTGCCAGAACCTGCAGACTGTACTGGTGGTTCCTCACAAACTCCTGGTAGATGTTCAACATGGGTAGAAGGATGTCAAACAGGTCCGCTGGGTGGGACAAGAGAAAACAACATCACATATACTCATATATATACAGAGACCCAGAGGGGACAAAAAGAGAAAATAATATGTGTAAAGGCAAAAATTAACAACATTTAATGCTTGAAATAAAATAATGTCATGTATGCAAAATATGGATATGTCTCCATGTTTTTGAGATCAAGCACACTAAACTGCTTGAAGTAACAAAGTAAAAGGGGAACTGTAGCACCTTTAAAGCTGGGCAGCTTTTTGTCAAAATGAAAAAGTTTTTGTGATTGCTCGAGCAGATTGCTTCAACCAGCAGCAACCAAAAAGCTGTATGGCTACAACGTTAACCTTTGTGGCAATTTTTCAACAACTAAAACGGGTAAACTAATCAATTTGTTTTTTCACTGGACACACTCAGATTGTTATTCAAAGTGGCTGACATTATAACAGAAAGGATCTCTACAGAGACAGACTTTTTTTTTTAAACCAGAACCTCTCAAAGCAAAGCCACCAAACTGGAGTGACAAAAAACAGCATTGTTTCCTTAAAAATTTCAGGATTTGATAGTCTAAACCATCCTTGACTGGGATTTTGTTGCAGTCATTACAGCCCATTTTTTAACTGCTTGCTAAAGTGATGAACTGGAACTATTTCTAGTGTCCGTAGCCATTGGGGCCTGAAGAAATAGAAGGGCCCAGGTTTGTAAAAGTACCAGAAGGCTTCTCTCAGTTGATTAATAGTTATGAAGCTTATTAAAAATTGAAAACCACTTGAAGAGAAATCCAGGTTCCAGTTGAAGTCAGAGGAAAATGCCATTGATCTGGCCTGCAGAAGGTTCAGCACCTTGGAGAGCTCCACAGAGCTCAGGCTGGATAATAATGTCATGCATTAACTAAAATTCTTCATCATCTGACTGAACTGCACACCTGTCCCCACCTCCGCTAATTATCCCTGCAATTCATACACCATCTCAATCCCATTCACTGTTTGACAGATGGTTAAATCTGCTTCTGCTTTAGCTTTAAAGTCAACCAATTTGCTTGTGTTGACTTTGCCAGAACAACTTCCTGCCTGCCCCCCCCTCACCTGACTCCAGCCTGTTTTCATCGTCCTGCATGATTTGACTTTTACCAGTAATTGTCCATTTTGGTGTTCGTACACAATGATGAAGTATTTTGTAAGCAGAGCCAAACTGGTGGCAGAAAGTTAGCTAGCAGTAGCTTGCGGTCAATTCACATCAGGACGTCAGGAACCATCTGGACGCCTTCTCAAATGATTTTAATTTGTTGGCAGTGGAGGACAAGTTGTCTTACAGTGACAAGCTAACCCTTAACAATGGGGTGTGGTACCCTGACCTGTCCTCACTGTCGGGTCAGTGGGACAAGGATCATACTAAACGGCCAAAGTTACAGTGTTTACCTTGTGGAGAAACCCAGCGTCTCTACCAGAAGAATAACTCAAGGCAAACAAACCTATTTACACATGCAATGTTGTACTTGGAGGTCACATCCTGTACAGAGATTGTCAGATTGTTTTTGTGCATCTACGACTGTCATACTGCCAAAGACATAAAACACAGCTATACAAGATGTGGTCTATCCTAAACAGGCCAAACAATGAATGTTAGAACAACTTGGAGTGCATCTTCTCCCTGTTTTTCTCTACTTGCTTTCACTGTTTGTCTGCCACCACAATGAGCACGCAGCTGCTGTGGCATAATCATGACGTCTACTCCAAATTGGTCTATTTAACCGCTACTTAACAGAATTATTTCATCTCTTAGTTTCTGAAGCATCTGGGTTTCCTCTGCTGAGCCATTACAACACACCTGCTGTTCCTTAGACGGTAAAAGATGGAGAGTTTGGGATAGCCAGTGTATAAGCTTTCAAAAAATGTTTGCAATGCATTCGCAAATGTGATCATCCAAAGTTGCAAAACCCTGCAGAACTCACCCAGGACAAGCGTAGGCCAGTTGGCGATCCGAGCGTTCAGCCCTTGATGGAAGATCTCGTGCAGGAACATGATGGTCTCACTAGAAAGAGAAACATTTTCAAATCAGTTTCACTGTAACTAACAAACCGGGAAGATTAAACATCTGCAACATAGAAGAAGGTGAAGGAGAATGCACCTGTTGAGGAAGATGCTGCTGACGTCGTCGTGGCTGATGGGAGGTTTCTTGGAGCTGGCGGCCATGCGGAGCGGCCTGAGGAAGCAGTTGACGAGGATGGAGAGCTGGTGGACGTACTCGGTCTCCGCCTCCACCATGTTGAAGACGATCTGGTTCCTCTTCCTCATGCTCTCGGCGTGAGGGGAGGAGATGTAGTCCTGGACGATGATCTTCCACTTCCTCCTGCAGAGCCAGCCGCGCATGAAGCTCTGAACCTGCAGACGGGTTAGGGTTAGGGTTCCTTTCTTTCTGTTTCTCTGCACGTTACTGTTATTATTCTTCTAACAAAAAAATACCTTCTTGATCTTTTTAATGTCGGGGTCTTCCTCCTCTTGGTTGCTCTGGTGAGGCTGCAGCCTTTCCTTCGCTTTGTTCAACACTACAATCTTTCACAACAACAGACTCCATGTGAATACACAGAGGGTGAAATATTCATGAAACTACTTTTGGAGGCTCAAAAACAACAAATGTCTCGTTGCATGATTAAAAAAGCATAACCTCTGAAACACTGGAGCCCTACTGTCATTCAATTTACCACACACGTGCGCTGTAAACACCAGTGTTTTCCCATCATGCAATATGCATTTACATGCTTTGATGTGAGTGTGCACCTGATTCTGTGGCCTTATGTATGCATGCACACTCAGATAGTTTGTGCACTCATGCATACCTCGGATTTGAGCCTCTCGATCTCCGTGTCCTGGTCCTCCAGCTGAGTGCGCAGCTGATTGGCCGCGACCTTCTCCGTCTCCATGATCTGCACCAGGTGGATGTACTTCTGCATCAGGATCTCACGCTCGACGATGATGTCAGAGTAACTAGAGGGAGAATGGGAAAGAGACAGGCTCCAGTGTTTATAACTAATTACAGACGGAGGGCTTCATCGGACAATTTATTCATATTACAACCTGCAAAATAACAACATAAGCATGATGGTTTATCCTAAAGAACTGCAATGTGCGCTTATGTTTCAGCCAGAAAGACTGAAACTGACTGTAATGGCTGCAAAATAATCAGGTTAAGTAGGCCTGGAAGTGGCGCAGATGGCCTAGTGGGAAAGGTTCAAGGTTCAAGGTTGTCTTTATTATCCCTGCAAGAGGGCAATTTGTCTTGCAGTCAGCAGAAAAACACATACATACAGCCGCAATCTGCAAACAACATAGAATGGACAATAAATAAATACAATAGTTAAGAGACTGATGGAAGCAGAGGCAACACAGTTAGTAGGTTAGGTTGTACAATTTCCCCATGTACAGAGGCTATGGTCCTCCAAGCAGGCGGCCTGGGTCCAAGTCCAGCCTGTGGCTCCTTTCTTGCATGTCATTCACTCTCTCTCTCTCCCTGGCTTTCTACTCTATCCACAATCCTAAAAGTCCCAAAATAAAGTTGTTGTTTTTTTTAAAAGTGCCAGTCCAAGTTCCAATAAAACTTCTTGCTTTTGAAAGGCTTGGATTGTTATTCTCCTGTAAGTGACTGACAACTTTACAGAAATGGTCTCTACAGCGTTACAACTTTTTTAAGAGTGATATGTGGCGAAGCGGCAAAAACAAAAACTTTATTTCCTCTGACGGATCAAATTGTAGCCATTAAAACTAGTTTTGTTGCTGCAGCTAAAGCAATCTACAAGAGCAATTCTCAAAATGTGAGTTTGTATTAGCCATAAAGAGCCGAAAATATGTTTTAAAAAGTTATTTTATGAACACACTTGTGGCACTTGGACTGCCATTTGAAGGTGAAACACTTATAACCCTGTGTGTGCTCACTTTACAGAGGATATATTTGATTTCTGCTTTATCACATTCTTCCTATAACAATGTGCAAGTGTTGTCATATTTTAAGATGAGTGCAGTAGCGCTGGATGGATTTAAGCACATTTTACTGTTCTTCATGTGTTGAAGAATAGTTCTTAAATAATTTAAAAGTCTTGTTTTACAGAGCTGACTTTTTGCAGTTGTTACATTCTGTATCAATAAATGATACAAGTCTTTGTGTGAGAATAAACAAAAAGGCGGTTTGACATGCATCATGGTTTTTAGTGAAACGTTCAGACGAAAGAGAGAGGGGGAGAGAGAGAGAGAGAGAGGGAGAGAGACAGAGAGAGACAGAGAGAGCGAGAGAGACAGCTAGAGAGAGACAGAGAGAGAGAGAGAGAGAGAGAGAGGGACAGAGAGAGAGAGAGACAGAGAGAGCGAGAGAGACAGAGAGAGAGAGAGAGAGAGAGAGAGAGAGAGAGAGAGAGAGAGAGAGCCGCAAGATCAAGTCCGTGATGTAACAGTGTAGCAGTACAGCACCAGTGTGACCTAAATGTGAACTGCTGCGAGCAGAACACGTCCATGTACGAGCACACACACACACACACACACACACACACACACACACACACACACACACACACACACACACACACACACACACACACACACACACACTGACACACACTGACACACACACTCAGATGTTAAACACATACGCAAAAACACGTGGTGGTTATGTCCAGTGTGCATCAGCACAAACAGAGAAGAGTCTGGGTTAGCAGAGAGTTATTTAATACCACGTTTATTTAAATGTTTCAAAATCCCTGAGACTCTCTTTCACTCTGATCCTTTACTCAAAGTATCAAAACAACATCATAAAATCCTTTTTAATTCAAATACTGCTTTAAAGTCACACTCAAGTATCACATACACCATACTCTGCAGGTCAACTTCCCCTGTAGCTCTACTTCTTAGTCTAATGGTTCTCAATCTAGGGGTTAGGACCCTCCAAAGGGTCAGTAGGTAAATCTGAGCGGTCGTATGTTGATTAACCCTTCACACCCTTGATGATATTTCTTACTGATATATCCCTACACTCTGTACGACCTAATCTAAAAGTTATGATAGTTAATAATAATTAAGGTTTTGAAATTACTCATAAATAGAATTGTTTTTTTAGAGGTTTATTTTTGGGCTTTTTGGGCCTTTATTTGAGAGACATGACAGTGAATAGAGACAGAAATCAGGGAGAGAGAAAGGTCAGATTTCAACGCGGGCAGATCGCTTGTCATTGGCCTCCGTACACGAGGCGTGCACAATAACCACCAGGCGACTGTCACTACAACTTCAAAGTCTTCTTCATAAAAACTAAAATTGTTATCAATTCGGAATTTAGAAACATAGACAACATTTTGATAAACAATCTAGAAGAATTTATTTAAATTTTTGAAAATATTCTCAGTTTTATAAGTAAATCAAAACCCATGAAGACGCTGACATATTTTGCTTGTCGTGATGTCATTTCCTGGAGAATCTTCAAATGTTTGATATCTGTAAAAATGTGTTGAAGCTGAAGGTTATGTAAACTGTGTCTGGTCTATTCTGTAGTTTGTGTTTAAGATCAATTTAAACAGGATTATGAGAACAACAATCTCCTGAGGCCAGATCACAGCCAGTCTCTGAGCAACAATATGACATCATCTGCAAATATATACAAGTTTTTTTTTGTGTCAAATAGAAAAAATGCTGCATTTTTTAAATCATTTTAAAACAGGATTACACAAACAACAATCTCCCGCCAGCGTGTAATAATTCAGTTTTCATTGGGCTACCGGGCAGGACAAGAGAGATACTGATTTGTAGAAGAAGAAGATATTCTTTACTAATCCTGCGAGGGGAAATTCAATTTTTACACTCAGCTGTTGATCATGCTACACACACAGGCTGAAATACACACACATGCACAAACTGGATCCTGATGTCAGAGATGTCAGCTATCAGACCAGTTTCCAGGCCGCTCCAGGACTTGAACCGGTGACCCTCCTGTTCCTGACCCAAGTCCCTACAGACTGAGCTACTCTCTACAACACACATTGGGGTTTTTTTGTGTGGACTTTCTGTAGTTGTTGTGTGAATGTATTTCACAGTAAAACCAACATTATTACCCTCTGAAGAGATGCAGACTAGTAAAGTAAAAAGGTGCATAAAGGGGTAAAACAGTGAAGTATGCGTACAAGTGCATAAAAACTGATCTTATTTGCAGTTTTGATCAGAGTGTATGTTCTTTGCTGCATATTCAATCACTTTACACAGCAAGAAAGTATTTTTCTTACAGCAGAAAAAGGAGCACATTCAAACAGTTACAGATCTTTAGACGCACGACCGCAAAAAGACTGACAAGAAAACAGAAAAGTCAGCACACTCAATGTTCTTAAAAGTTGTAGAACAGCAGCAACGAACGCATTTCAGCACAAAGCCTTCATCAGTCTTTTTCTCACCTGGCCTGCTGGATGTACTCCACCCACTCGTTGCAGTCTGACTCCTCCTCCGTCCGAAGCTCCAGAGGTTTCTGTCCATCGTGGCCAAAAATGACCAGGAAGTAGTGCTGTGACAGAGGAAATAAACACATCATAATGAGTGGTTAATTTCACCGAATGAGGGGAACCTTGAAGAAAATACACTCTACTTCAGCTAGACCTTCAGGAGGTGCAATTATCAGAGAGTTTTCTTAGTATTCCCTTTATAACAAATATTAAGATTCTGGTAAGTTACAGCTGACAGGTAACAGTTTATGTTTTTAATTTCAGGTAAACTCTTACTTTTGCATGAATGCATGTTCATTCCTACGATGTGCATGAGACCAGAGAAAGATGTTTTCACTGTGTTCAGTCTACCTGAATCTGTGTGGCTTTAAGTTTCCTTTTCACTCCTGCAGACGAGTGTTAAGCTGCTCCTGAAACCACCACATTTCCCTAAACAGCTCTTTTGAAATAAAAGCGTTTCAACACCATAGTAACTTTGGACCTTTATTTTGAAGGTAGATTGAGCTAATAAAGTTGTCACTTTCAGTATTTTTTCCCCATCACTGTCGTTAACAATCATGCCTGCTATGGACAAATATCTAATCACAACAACAGAAGTTAAAACATCACCAATATGAGCAAAAGAAACTTCTCAATACCACAAGTAACTGAATACCAGAAACACGTCAGAGCACGTGATTCAAACGTACAGTTGAGCTGTGCAGCACTAAATGCAGCATTTTAATCTGACAGTGTTCTGAGTGCTGCAGGATCGATGCTTCCTGCAGGCAACAAAGCTGCTGTAACACTAATGCCCACTGCAGTACTCTGTCTAACATTACCTTTGGAGAGTAGCCTGAACACATCATCATCACCTCCATATCTTTGTTGCTCAAGGTGTTTATTGACAACAAGCAGTATTCAGCAGAGAGCTCTAATAACTCATGTCGGCTATTGATTCAAGTAGAGACTACAGACTGTATTAAACATCGATAAGTCTCAGTGAGGTAACGGATTTGTTTCTGGAGAGAGGTTTTGAAGCTGAACGATGGCAGTCGCCATATTGGAAAAAGCTGATTTAACATCTTTTGGTCGGCATAGAGGTTGAGCAGAGGCCTGCTGACATACAGCTACAACCGGCAGCTTACAGTCAGATCAGCCCCGACCCTTATTATGCAAATGCATGTATACCTTTTATCCATAATATAGTCAAAGCGGATGAGTTTAAAAAAATGTCTCCCAATGCAATGTTTGCCAAAAAAGGCACTCACTATTCAGACCAAATTTACTTTTTGGACCGGGTGGAAAACATGGCTGTATCTGCTTGAAAAATGGGACTTTCTAAATGTCCTTTTCTGTGTATGAAAGCGACCGTGTTAACCGTCAACTTTTGTAAAAACGACATCTCCGAGTGCATTTGAAACCACTGTCATGGCTAATGTAAAAGGGAATATTGATGTATTTTTCTTTTCATTTCTTTACAAAATGTTCATTCTATCTCATCGTGGGAAAGCCCACAAAATAAACTGAGGCTTCCTTGTGTCTTAAATTAAGTCTCCAAACTGAGTGTTTAATCACCCTTAAAATATCAGAGATCAAGTCTGAACAGTGATGCATTGTCTTGCAGCTTTTGAAAGATAAAATAGTCTTCATGAATGACTCTTTGTTTAGTTTTTTTTCATGTCAAAATATACTCATCAGATGTGTTTTTATGAAAAAAAACGAAACAAATACAAACGCATCAATGGCTGAAGTTGCCAGTGTACCGAAGCACTGATCTAGTTTTGCAGGTTTCCACGGCAACTTCTCTGTTGCCAGCTTGTTTGACGGATATGTTTGTCACTGTGCATTGTCAATAACACATAGTTCGGATGTGGATAATTACAGTCTTGGTTCATTAGCTTGTCTTTGTTGTCCCTGCTGCTGTGCTGACCCTGTCACACCTTTACTCTACACTGCCCCCTACTGTTCAAGATCAAACTGCATCTTGCTTTTCTTTAATCCTGATTAAGCCTGTTGTTATTGTTGGCATTGTTAAAAGCATGCTGAGTTACCTACTGATTCTTTGTCTTTGCCCATGCATGTACAGAGAATCACCTTAATACTGATGAAAACCTGAAATGTGTTATCGGCCGATTTTAGCATATCCAGTGTCGGCTAATTTTATCGCAGATATGCACAGATATTTCAAATAGCATTTCATTTTAGATTAATTGTATTCCACTAGCTGTTCTCTTTCACCAGCAGAGGGCGCTATATGGATTACAACAAGCATCATCACCCTCCAGAGCATGAAGCAGTGATGCACGTACATGCACAGTTACTTTCCAGTTGAGTGACCATCTCGTCTTTTTTATAAATCTTTTCCACAAATGTTCGATAGCTGCTTTTGAGAGATCAATGCAATGAGTGTGTCTATATCTATCTATCTATCTCTACAGATCTAAGGAAGATATCGGCCAATATATCGGTATCTGATTTTTCTTCTCTCCCCAATAACGATATCGGTATCGGACCCAAAAATCGGTTTGGGACCTATTCTCAAGCGTTTTTTGTGCATCTTTATGCTTGGATTTCTAGATGAATTCAGAGATATTCATGTGATTTGAAAATCAAAGACAAAGGTGTCTTCTGGAATCACATCAGTGTGTGTTTCATGTCTGTGTTGAGACTTCAGTGAGTTATAACATTTAGAACGAGTACGATCTCACACATTATCTCACACTGCCCTTAAACTCTCCGGTAGTGGATGTGGATTTCCCCCTTTGTCTTTGTCCTGCTCAGGATCATCTCAGGCCAAATCCTGTAAAATCCCAATTGTTAAAATCCGTCTGGAATAATGATTTAAATGTCCACGCCCACCTGAGATGTTAATCCTCTCCGTACAGGGCTTTTAGTCTAATCTTAGTCTCGTCGGGTAACAGTTCACCTTTCCTGCTGAAGGCTGTCTGCAGTTCTACGAATCAGCTGTGTCTATTACGAGTGCCATCATGACGCCGCCTCTGGGTTATAACCTCGATGACCGCGCTGTCTTTATAGCGCCGTGTGCCGCCACTCTGTCGAAACACATTAACAGCCGACGAACCGTCATGTCGCAGCTTGTTAGATCCCCTCCAGCACCTCCACACCAATGTCAATGATCTAATTATGTGACTTACAAGAGCGAGCCGACAAGTGTTTGGCATGTAGCATGTATAAGAAATAAATCTTCCTGTCAGATGTAAAATTTTATGAAAAATACTGGAAAAAAAAAAGTGTTTGCACAGTTCAAGATCTGATGTTAGATGATGAGAGAAAAAGTTAAAATCTGTAACCTGTGTTGACCATGTTCACAGACGTTATTTTTTTTGGCCCTTTCTAAGTTAGGACAGCTGAAGAGAGACGGGAAGTGGTAAAGGGAGACAGTACAGCCTCGGTACATGGGGTGCCCCGCCCTCAAGCCTTTTCTTATCCAGACATGATCAGCCTTCTGTCTTTTTTTCTTCTAAATACTGAGCTTCACTTCAGCAGGTTGGAGTTAGCTTCTGCTTTGTTTACACCCGCTTCTTCACGAGTAGAGATTCTTTTAAACTGGGGCGCTGGGGGACTAGCGGTAAGCGTTTGCATCCCATGTGCAGAGGATGATGCAACCCGTTATTTGAAACAGATAGAATTTTGAAGTGTCAGTTGTTTGGATAATGGAAGGGGGTTGAGGGTTGTTGAAGCTGTTCTGCTGCAGACGGGATCACACAATGGTGTCCATGTTGGAGGATATTTTTTAAAAGCAGAGAACACAGAGGAGTTACTTTTACACGAGACTGTCTGAAAAGTTGTCGACAAGGACAACTACACAGCAATGACCAAAAAGATTTCCTTTAAGAGAGACAGGCGTCAAATTCAGAACTGATGCAAAGTCCAAAACAAATGCAACAGATTTGTGTTGCACATTAAAAACGAAAAAAAAAGGCAACGCAAAAAGCGGAAACAATCCCATTAACAGCAAGTGCTCTGCAAATACTATAAATGATGCAAAGACCAAACATAAACAAGGGTTTGTGTGATTTTGACTTTGCATTGTTTGTTTGTTTGTGTATACTAGTGGCAGCATGTTTGCTGGTACTGCATCTGTTTGGCTTTCTGCAACATGATCTGAAACACTTTTATGGTGTTAAATCTGTTTTGTATTTTGTAAGTGTTTTTAAAATTTGCCCCGTTTCTGAATGTGCTGCAATTGTTGCCTTTTTGGAAATCGTTAGCGACGTTGCAGCGCGATTGCTTCTGTTGGACAGAGAGAGGGGGAAAACTTCTGGGTGAGCGTTCCTTTATTTATTTAGCACTATCTATTTGGGTGGTTGGACAGCATCATGTATTGAACTATAAACATCTATATTAAAAAGGAAATAATCTTCAGAAAAGGTAAAGGCGTAATAATGGATTTGAAGTGTCTAAAAATGTAAATTCTGGTTGGCGTTTTTTGTTTTTGATTTTGAAAATGTCAAAAAATCTGAGAATCGAAAAAGACCAAGTACTTTAAGTTTTCTGTTGTATCTTTCATCACAAAAAGTACACTGATTTACACAACTCTAGTCTAGCTGGAATATTTGGTGTTGGTTTTGCATGACATTATTTTTTTTTGATAATTGATTTGAGAGGAAAAGCAGTGATATGTGATGCATATCTTTAAAAATAAAAAGGCATATACAGTTAACTTGTAAAATATGTTGACATAAAGTTATAAAAACATAAATCTATTTATTTTGTTTAGACGTTTTTTCTGCATATATAAAATTGTAAATCTGCTGATTTGTTAGTTTTTGTCAATTGAGTCAAAACCAAAAGAAAGCACTTTAAACATAGTGCATATTTATTTACACATTGTACGACAACATCTGATGATATATATAAATGATATATTTGACTGTGAGTCTGCACAGCAGAAAGTAGGCCTGTGTAGTAATGATGTAACGATAAGCGGGTGAGAGACACTTGCTAGCGTGTGCCGGCTACGGACCAGAGAGAGGCTTAAGGGCTTGTTTGTGTGTGAGTCTGTGTGTGTGTGTGTGTGTGTGTGTGTGTGTGTGTGGGGAGTAAGGGAGGAGGAGGG